TTTTCTGTTTTTATATGTATGATTTAACATCCGGAACAATGTGTTTTTTCTATTTTTAATTCATTTCTGATTTTAATTTATACAAATCAGAATTTTTTTTATATTTTTATTTTCCTTTTTGTTTTTTTTTAATTCTGATTTTTTTGTTTCTTTTCTATTTTGAAGCTGTTTCTGAAACTTTCTGAAAATGCTTCCTTTTTGTTTTAAGTCTTGCGATTATTTTTATTTTTAAATTTTATTATTTTTTCAAAATTTTGCAAAATAATTTTTCTTTAATCTTTTACATTATTCATTTTTATTATTATTATTTTTGGAATTTGACCTTTTTGTTTGCACTTTCTTTTTTATTTTTATTCTTTGAAAAAGGTGCCTTGCATGGCTAATGGTCATTCAATATAGCTTTTATTTTAATTTCAGAATAAATTTTTTCTTTCCTTAAAATGAAAATATTAAATACACTTTTATGTTTATTCTAGTGCCAAAATTTTAGAAAAATATTTTAAAGTGTATTTAAATTTGAGGACATTAATTTATCTAATGGTGTTTTTGGATTAGAAGAAGAATAAAGAAAATGTGGGGGGAGATTTTAGCTATAAAACGAGAGATTTTTCTATCAGTAATTGCCGAGGGTTATGCCATGGTTTTAGGGATTTTGCTAATTAAGAGCCAAGGTTTTGGGTCTGGTTTTAAAAAATTTTCTCGGGTCGGGTTTCGTGTCTAAAAAACACCGGGTATTGGATTTCGAGTAACCCACTGCTATCCTTGCCTTTAAGGTTATGTTTACTATGACGAGATTTTACTAACATTTTTTCCTTGTAAATAATAAATTTTTAATAAAAAAAGCGAAAAGTGCAAGGAAATTAACACAATACCACTTTTACCCTCCACTAATTTTCTTTCTCCTCCAAATTTTCCCTCCTTTCTTGGCTTGTTCGTTTTATATTTTATTTATTTTTAATTTTTTTTCCTTTTTTTTTTATTTAAATACTTTTATTACCGCCTACTGGGTTATTTATTTTTTTTCAAAAATCCTTTCCCGTTCACTTTATTTTTGCATGGTTCGATGAGTTATGGGTCGCACAGACTTGGTAAAGAGACTGGATTAGAGATTTTTAAGCTTTTTGTTTATTTGGATAAGCTAGTTGGATGTTGTTCTTTTTTACCTTTTTTCAACAACAACAAGGCTGGGAAGTTTTATTAAAAAATTTTTTTGATTATTTTTTGTTGATTATTTCAGTCGGCCCCTGAGTTTTTAAATACTACTCGAAGGGGTATTTTCTATTGGGAAGTTATCGCTTTTTTAGTTGAAATATATGTATATCCGAATAATTATTTTTTCTTTTTCTATTATTAATGTATTAATTTTCTTTCTTTTTTTAGCATTTCTAAAAAAGATCTGCGCAAGCTAGAACAATTAAAATTGATTTATTCTATTTCGTTTATTTTTTTGTTTAATTAATTAGTTTTTTCGGTGATTTTTATATTTATATTATTTTAAAAGAATTTTTTAATTACCTTATTTTTTATTATTTTTTTTTTGATAGTTTTTGAAATTATATTTTAATTTATATGTATTTTTTTATTTCTTTAAATTTAGGCTATTTATTTTTTAAATTCTAGTCTGAAACGAATCATTAAATTTTGTGTTTAAAAAACAAAAAATTTTCAAGTTTTGTCAATTTTTTCAACTTTATCCACTTTAAAAAAATTTTTTTATTACAAACAAAAAATTTCTCTAAAAATAAAGATTTTTTATTTGCTTTATATTTTTATTATTATTATTTTTCAATATTCTATTAGCAATCGTTTTTTGTATGTTTTTTTATTTCTTTTCGCAAACATTTTGGAATATTAAGTAGAAGTGGAAAGGGGGTTAAGCAAATTCTTTTTTTTCTTTTTTTCATTTTCTTTTTTTTATGTAGCGGTTTTTTTGTCTGTTCTTTTTTAACTATATTTTTTGTTTGTTAGAAAAAAATTTTTTTCCTTATTTTATTTTTTAATATTTGGATATTTTTGATGTCATTATTTTCATTCATTTTCTTTGTTGGTATTTTAATTAGAGACTGGACTAAGACGTTATCACGAAAAAAATTCTCGGTTATCGAGATTAATATTTTTTATATCTCGATTTTTTTACGACTCTCCCAGTTTGGTCTCTAATTTTAATATAATTTTTTTAATTTTTTAAAATTTTCTCTGGCGTTTTATTTATTTTTTATTATCATGCTTAATCTCTTTTTTTTTAATTTAAACAACTGTTATATGTTTAAATAAAAATAGAAGAAATTAAATCTTTATTAATCAAAAAAAAAATATATTTTACTTACTCTCTACTATTTTTTTGACACTCAAAAAAAAATTTTTTTTTAAATAGTAAAGGAGATTAATAAAAAAAAAATTTAAAATAGATATATATTTATTTATTCTATCTATTAATCTTTAAATATGTTTCCTTAAAAAAATGTTTCTTAATTTAAAAGAAATTTTTTTTAATTCTTGTGTTTCTTTTAATTCTGATTTTTTAAATTTACTTTACTATTTTTATTCTTGCATATTTTTAGCTATTTTTTAACATTTTTAATACATGTACTATAATTTGATTTTTGTTTGCGGCATGTTAAAATTTATAAAATATTTTTAATTTATTTGTTAGGTAGATAAAAAATGACGTCTTCTTTCCTCCGTTCTCTCTTTTCATGTATTCTTATTTAGAAAATTTTTATTTTTTTTTATTTTTACGATCCAAAAACCACGAAACACCACTATCAACTACCTCCCCCTTCCATTATACCAAAACTACTGCTAACATATAACTAAATTTGTTTGTTGTGTTAGCATATATATTTTTTATTTCTTTTCTTCCAAATTTCCTTTTTTTCCCCAAATTTTTATACAACAAACACAAAACACGTCTTCGCCCACGTTAAATCCATATAAAACTAAAATAAAGATGATATTTTATATATTTTTGAATAAAAAAATTTTTGGGGATTTTTTTTTGAATTTTGGTGTTATAATTTTAATAAGACGAGTTTTTGGATTTTTTCTAGTTAAAAAAAGCATTTTTATAATTTTTACCCATCTACATATTCTGACCTGCTTTGGTATATTTATCCTCTATCTTTTCATTTGGATTTTTTTCTGAATTATTTCTTTAAATTTTTACTTTATAATTTAAAAAAAATTTTTGTTGAATATTTATGAAACAATTATAAGGAATAATTTTGTATTTGGCTATTTTTAATTATTTTTTTTTTGTTTTGGGCTTTTTTATTATTTTTATTTAATTAGTAAATATTTATCTAATTAATACATATTATTTTCATTTATTTCCGTTTTACAATTTTTTCATATTTTTTTCCTCATCTTTAGCACTTTTTTAAAACACACAATTTCTCTTTGAAATGTTTGGGTCCTCTTTTCTCTTTTTTTCTACTACATATCTTTTTTTTTTGAATGATGCTTAATATTCTTATCTCCATTTTAAGTAGTAACAATTTTTACGTAAAAATATTTTTTCCTTTCTTTTCTTCTCTTTTGTTTCCCCAAAGGCTTTGAACTCTCTCCAAAAATTGTCTCACATTTACACTTTTTTTTACAAATTTTTGTTTCTTTTTTTTTTGAAAAATAATCCTTTTCTTGTGAATTGCTTTAAAAAATTTTTAAAGTGTTTAGGGCTTTTCTTTTTAAATTTTTTTTGTTAAAAATTTTATTTTTTAAATTATTTTTTAACTACAATAAATTTATGTTAGATATGCGCGCTCTTGGCAATGAATTTCCGGAAATCTTTAAACTTGTTTAAATTTTTGTGTTTTTTTTTCGAAAAATACCCATTAAAATTATTTATTAAATTTACGGAAAATACTTTAGTGTTTTTACATAACAGAATTAACTTTTAAAACTTTTCCGGAAACTTGTATTTTTTTATTTTTAAATTTCGGAACTATAAAGAAAAGATTTGAGTTAATTTAAAAAATTAATTTTGGTAACTGTTTTAAAATTTAACCACTATAACAGATTTCCGGAATTTTGATGAAGAGTCGACTTAAGCTTTAAAATTAATTTTGGGTGACTTTTAAAAATTAAAAAAGATTTTTTTTATTTAATATTCCCAATTTTTAACCTTTAGTGTGTATATTCGATTGTGTTTTGTTACTATAAAATACTCAATTGAATTTTACTTTAAATTTAATAAAATTTTAAAAGGGGGAAAAAAACTTTTTTTGTCATCATTTTTATATTTTTTATTTCTTTAAATTTTTTTGGTAAATGTCCGGTTGGTGTCCTACATGTCCGCAAAGGGAATGCGCATTTTTCCTTCTCTTTCTTGCATTTTTTACTTTGAGTGGCGCTCGCTGATTTTTCCTTCTCTGTTATAATATGCCTTTTGGCACTTGGAAGAAAAGGGGAAAAATATTAAAAATTAATAATAAAGTACAAATAAATATTTGATTTTATAAATGAACAGATGAAAAATTTGGGATAACATTCTCAAATAGATTCCTAAAATATCTAGGAGATAGGAGTTTATGGGAGGTTCTATCCAATCCGTCCTTTATGATTTAAGGGTTATATCAGTTATATTTTATATGTTACTTTACATCAGCATCTATGATGTAACTATAAAGACCAATAAGATGCAAGGAAATCATTATATATTTTAATAATAGGATTAAGTGTAGCTTCATCTCTCTTGCGTAGCTTCATCTCTTTACTTTCTTTCCATAGATTTTCACATTGTTCATTATGAATTTTATTAATTTTTAATATTTTTCCCCTTTTCTTCCAAGTGCCATAAGGAATTTTATAACAGAAAAGGAAAAAGCAGCGAGCGCCACTCAAAGGAAAAAAATGCAAGAAAGGGAAGGAAAAATGCGCATTCTCTTTGCGGACATGTAGGACACCAACCGGACATTTACCAATTTTTTTTTATTATTTTACGATTTTTTGTGACTTTTTTTTCTATTTTTATCTTTCCTCCTTTCATTTTTTTAAAATTTAATTTATGATTTTTTTTTCTTTCCTTTCAGAGAATTACCTAAACATTTACTACTTAAACAGCAACCTCCTAGTATTGGCGGTGGAGGTGCACATTCCTCTTCTTCTACTACTGCTGCTGCTGTTGGTGTTACGGAAATGCAATTACATACTGAATGGTCTGAACAGCAAAGGCGACGTCTTTATCGAATTGCTTTAAATTTTTTTAACAAGTAAGTTAAGGGGAGAAATATTTCCGGAAATCCTTTCTCAGCTAGTTAAACATTTTTGTGTTTTTTCCGGAAATAGAAATATGTATTTTCCTTATTTATTAAAAATCCGGAAATATATACGTGTTTTCGGAAACGTAGAGTATTTTTCATGTTCCGGAAACATGTATTTTATTTTTTAAGTGAGTGTTTGTGTGTGTATTTTCCGGAGTGTGTTTTCCGGAAAGAATAATTAAAATAAACTTTTACGGAAACATTACAGGATACATAAAAACTTCCGGAAATGTTTAATAAATATTTTTCCGGAAAAGTTGTGTTTTATTTTTTCAAGCCGACAATATTTGTGTTTTTCCGGAAATATCTTAAAAAGTCTTCCGGAAACTTTGTGTATTTTATTTTAAATTCAGAACCTTTTCAACTTTTCCGTAATTTTCCGGAATTCCATTATTTATTCCTGAAAACTTTATTATTTGGTATTTTTGAATTTGTAAAGTTTCTTGTGTTTTCCGGAAAATTTTTATTAATCTTTTAATTTTTGTATTTTATTTTTTAAGAAAACCTGATCGCGGTATTCAATTACTTATTCGTTGGGGTTTTGTTGAAGAAAGTCCTCCAGTAATTGCTCGACTTTTTAGAGAGAGACGAGGTCTTTCACGACAAATGATTGGAGAATATTTGGGTACTCTTCGTTCACCTTTTCATAAAAAAGTTTTGGAGTAAGCGTGAATTTATAATTTTTTATTTAAATTTTATTTTAGACACTTTATTTCTGACCTTCCAATGCATAATGTTGAGATTGATATAGCTTTACGTCAATTGCTCAAACATTTTAGACTGCCTGGAGAAGCACAAAAAATTGACCATATTATTCAGGTTTCTTGTAAAATTTTTTATTTTCTAACATAACTGATATTAAATATCTCCTTGGGGTTTCACTTTTTAACTCATCCTGGGGTGCAGCTGATATATGTTTACGAGTAGCTCCCCCTTTAAACAAAAACTTTCTAAAAAAGAATTTTAACTTGAAGTTAGAACTGTTAGAAAAAAATCTTTGAAAATCGAATTTTCTAATCAAACCAAATCGAGGATATAGTTTAGGGATGTTACGGGGTAAGAAAAATATCGGGTGGATTTTCAAAATTTGTTTTGTATTATAAATATTTTTTAGCGTATTTGATTTCGGATAAGCTTATAGCGAATTTCGACTTTATTTTACTTTATATTTATTAAAATCATTAAATTTAAACATTTTTTTTCAGACATTTGCTCACATTTATGTAGCTTACAACCCTCATCTTTCTTCAAAAAATGGTTCTGATAGTATGTATATTTTGGCATTTGCTGTAATTATGTTAAACACTGATTTACACACACCTTCATTAAAAGACTCTAGAAGGATGAAATTGGATGAATTTATTAAAAATTTGTGTAGAGTGGAAGAAGGCAAAAACTTGGACAAGTTTGTATTTTTTTAATGAATTTTATAGGGTATGGGGCTTCGGTTTATGCTTTTCCTATTTTCTTTTTTAACCTTTTGACAACTAAAAAAATAATTTGGAGGTTAAACACGAACATCCACTTTGATTTAATCTTTTTTTTGATTGATTAATTTATATTAAATAGTTGTCAGAGGAGTTAAGAAGAAGGAAAATAAGAAAGAAATAATAAGGGACTGGTCCATAAAGTATATTTTTGGGGTAGTTTATGTATTTTTTATTTTTTTTTGTTGGTTCAAGAACATTGAGGGTTAAAAAATCTTTTAAATTTATATTTTTGTGTCAAAGTTCATTTAGATCTTAAATTAATTTTTGCCTTACATTTTCTAATAATTAAAAAATAAATTTTTTTTTTATTTTTTTAGAAAAATGCTTGCTGGTATTTATGAAAGGGTAAAAGAATTTGAATTTCGTACTGATCAGGACCATGTGTCACAAGTATTGAAAATTGACCAGTGTATTGTTTCTAAGGAGAAACAGGTAAATTTTATATTTTTTATTTTATTTTAAAATTGACTAAAATAATTTTTAAAAAATTTTTTCATGTGGAGAAACCTTGGTGGTGGTTCATAAATTTTTTTTATTTAATTCAAAAATTTTTTAAAAATATTTGGGAGGTGTGGGGTTCGAACCCACGCGGCGATGAACGCCAACAGATCTTAAGTCTGTCTCCTTAACCACTCGGACAACCTCCCTCTTGTTGAGTATTTTCTAAAAAGAGCTTTTCATTCATTTACTAGTTAATAGAAAGGAAAGGGAATTTAATATTGTATTTTTTCGAATGCTTTATTTTTATGAGATGAAATTTTTTAAAAATAATTTTTGATTAAAAATTTGAATAGAAAATTTATTAAATTTATTTTTTGTTTTTGTCTTATTAAAAATTCAAATTTAATTTTTTATAACCAATTTTCAAAATTTTTTTTTCATTTCAGAAACTCACTGAACCTCATCGTAGACTCATTTCCCATTGTATTGTCCATCAAATAATAGACCAAAATAAGAAGCAATCTTCTTCAGCTCATATGCGTGAAATTATTCTTTTTAATGACATTATGCTTGTTTGTAAATTGATTGGTGGAAGGTTAATAAGTTTTTAAAAATTTTTGAAAATTTTCAAAAAAATTTTCAAAAAAAATTTTTTCGCTAGGCCTAGGGTCTGGAAATATTCTTAAAAATTTTTTATCATTAAAAATATTTAAAAAAATTATTTGGGAGGTGTGGGGTTCGAACCCACGCGGCGATAAACGCCAACAGATCTTAAGTCTGTCTCCTTAACCACTCGGACAACCTCTCCTTTTGAACACTTTTAATTTATTTTGTCTGTTATTCTTTAATTTTGAGGCTCTCTTATTTTTATTTTAGGAAGCGCTCAATTTCTTCAAGCAATCGAATGGACCAATATCAACTTAGATATTTTAGTTTATTAATTGGTTTACAAGTTCAAGAATTTCAAAATTCGATTTATCAACATGCTTTTTTACTTACCTTTCCTGATGGACAATCAATGATGTTTAATGCTAAAAATAATGATGACAGGTAAAAAATGCCTATATTTCTTTGGGGAAGGGAAAAAATTCAAGGAAAGAAAATTTTTTTGGAATTTTTTTTTGTTTTTTTAAAATTTCTCCAAAAAAATTTATTCGAGTGAAAAATTCTCTATTATATGTAGTCTAGTTCTTTAGCAAGAATTAGTCGGCATTGGGCCCGGTGTTCTACCCTTGTTGCGCGCCGATCCACCAATTAAAACGAAGGCCTTTTTAAGTTTATTTAATTACCAAATATTAAATCTACGGGAAAAACCAACTTTTGGTCATGTGTTTCAGACCCTAAAAGCAATTCAGAAAAAAAATTAGGATTTTTATATAATTGCGCTCCTTACCAGAGGTGGGTCGGAATTCCGATTTCCGATTTCCGAAAAAAAATTTTGTTTTCCGAGTTCCGAAAAAAAAAATTTTGTTTTCCGATTTCCTAGTTCCGACTTTTGAGCCAGTTCCGATTTCCGGCTCTTCCGATTTCCGACACCCCTGACTGTTCCGACCCACCTCTGCTCCTTACTCATTGACATCAGCTGTCGAAATTCTGGATCGCAGCTTTAAAAACATGAATATACAAAATAAATCTATCAAATAAATCAAACTACAATTTTATCTGCTACAATAAATTTTTAGACTAATATAGTCTCAAAAGTTACAATCACTAAAAACAAGTAAAAAATAAAATGTTTCAGTGATTAAAAAATTGTGTATCATTCATAAAAATTGAATGTTGAGAGACAATTTGTCTCTCTTCTTTTTGTGATGTGTGTTGTCTTTGCACAACCTCACTTTTTTTTCTTGGGAAGGATATTTACAAATCTAATCAAATATATACAAATCTAATGCGGGCCGTCTAAATCTACGAATGTTTTCTTTTGCTGTAGACTCATGGATTTCCACGATAAGCATGCGAATAATCGGGATATCCGTGTGGATGGTCCCCCTCAACATTACGGCGATGTTCACGTTGAGTTTGACGACGTTGATCAGCATTACGATTGTTGCTTCGTTGACCACTTCGATTGTTTGGTCGATTACGACGAGTGCTGTGGTCATGGCTCGATCCTTCACCATGTTGTTCATAACCTTGGCCATCAACTGATCCTCCATAAACGTCATGGCTTGATCCTTCTCCATGGTGTCCAAAACCTTGGCCATAAACAGATCCTCTATAAACGCCATCATTATAGTTGCCATACCCTCAAATATTTAATTACATTCTTAAAGAATATCAAAAAAATATCTTATTGACGGTCTTTTAGTAGATTTTGGAAGATTGGGACCTGAGTTTGTTGCGAAATCTAGACTTTCTGGCGTTATGTTCGATTTTCTAAAATTTTTCAACATGTTGATTGGAATAATTTTTCAACGAATTTTTTCCAAGAATATTATTTAACATAAAACTTTAAAAAAATACCAGAATATGCGCTAGCACTTGAGGTACTTTCACTTTCATTATCACTTGTTGGGTATTGTAAATCAATCACTTCTGCTCCTTCGTTGGCATTATTTTGTATATTTTCTGGAAGTTGGAAGTTATTTTTTGAGTAGTTTAATTGGCCACAAAGGATAATTTGCACTCACATGTGGGGTGATAGTGTTAAGGATTCTAGGCTTTTTTATATACTTTTCTGCTTTGGAAATTATAAGTAAAGCTCGTCAGGCTGGGACCAGAGACATCCGATTCCCGGAAATTTTAGCTGATTTTCGATTTCCGACACCTTCCGATTCCTGCGCCTTTGTTATTTCCGATCAACCTCTGGTTGGGACCAGTCTTAAGCTAAACTTACGTTGATTCCCATGTGGACCTTCATTGAAGTTACGAAAGCGGTGGAATCTATTCATCTCCTCCTGAGTAATTTCATCACCACGGTTCCTTCCATAGTTTGGCCGATAACCTTGAACATCAAGCCTTCCAGCTGGATTTCTGGGTTGAATACCTCCTTGAATATTGTCAAGTCTTCCAGCAGGATTCCGCGGAACAGGACTTGGTCGTCCATAATGTCCTCCTCCAGTATAAGCATTATTTTCCATACATTCGATCACACAGAATGAAGCGATAATGCAAAAAAGAAAAGTTGCCAAAAGTGGCACATTCATTTTCTTAAAAATTTAAATTGGCAAAAAATTTTTAAAATTAAAAGAAAGAATTAAAAAAAAATTTTTTTACTTAAAAAAAAATTAATAAAAAAAAATTTAAATTAAAATAAATTAGAGTTGCACGCTCAATGTATGTTGCGCGTGCAATGTCTTAGGATTTCAATCAAATTAAAGGGCCTCTAAATTTGAAAATGTGGCAATGACAATTAATGGCTACCTATTTTGCCCTATTTATTTTACCTTATACCCCACACAAGCGTTTCCTTTAAGAATGTAAATAAAATCGCGCGCATAGCATGCCTGCATGACATTAGATGCCTGACTGCTTTCCAACTCGAGTTTCACGTGAAATAAATAGCTGGTCATGTTTATGCGTCTAATAAACTTTTATGCGTCCAATAAAAAGTTTATGAGTCCACTCAAAATTTTATACTCAGGGGCTAACTTAAGGGTTTTACGTGTTATCTTAATTCCTCAGTATGTATCAAATGATCGCGAGGATTCTCAAAATTATAGTAATTTTGTGATTAACCCATAGGTATTCAAGATACCGTAATTGAAGATTATTAATACCCCCATAAATGGACCTCCTATTACTGACGCATAAACTTTCCTTTGGACGCATAAAGTTTCATTCGCCGCATAAAATTCATTAAACGCATAAACTAGACCATAGCCAAAAATTTTTATTTTTAAAAGGTATTGTTTTGTGACTGATATTCGTGAATCAATTGCTGAATCAACTGAAATGGAACATTGGCGTATTCACTTGGAAATGGAACGACAACAACATCAAAACAATCATTTGTCTGGAATTGGTGCTCGTTTGGCTGAACATGATTTTCAAATTGGGGGGCAACAACAAAGGGGAGGAATAACAACACCAACATCGACACCTACAAGTCAAAAACAGAATTTACATAGTATAAGTGTTGGAAGTTGTAACAATTCTTCGGCTGGGGCGATGACAAGTAATACATATAATTTAATTAATTTGAAACAAACTTTTCCGGAAAATATCTGAGAACATTTCCATCTCCGGAAATATTTAATTATTTTTCCGGAATTATTTTCAAATTATTTTGGATTTTCCGGAAACATAAATACTAACGAATATCTTTCCGGAAGTATTCGAAAGCATAGTCAACTTTTCCGGAAAGAAGATTAAAAAACGAAGTATGATCCGGAAAGAGAAAAGATTTTCCGGAAGATAATTAAAAGCATTTACAATTTCCGGAAATCTGAAATTTTTACAAATGTTTTTCCGGAAGTATGATTTTCAATTTTCCGGAAATAAATATTAATTAAAAAATGTTTTCCGGAAACATTAATTGAAATTTTTATAAATATTTTTTCCGGAATTGATAATAGCATTTATAATTATTTTCCGGAAACTACATAAATAATGAACAGTTTCCGGAATTATTATATTAAAGTTATTTATATTTTTCCGGTTATATTCTATAATTATACTTAATTTTCCGGAAACAGAATATTAGTAAATGTTTTTCCGGAATCGATTAAAAGTGTTTACAATTATTTTCCGGAAACTACATAAATAATGAACAGTTTCCGGAATTATTATTATACTTTTCCGGTTATATTCTATAATTATTTTTAATTTTCCGGACAATATTAATAAAGATGTTTTTCCGGAATTAATATAAAAATTATTTTATCTTTCCGGTTATATTCTATAATTATTCTTAATTTTCCGGAAATAAAATATTAATTGATATTTTTCCGGAATTATTTATAAAACCTTTTCCGGTTTTAATTTCTCTCTCTTCTTTTATTATTTTCTCTTTTTCTAGTGGTAACCACAACAACTGTCGATAGCATTCAACGTGATTCTGGTCTTCCTGACATGGATTGCCATGCTTCATCTTCTGTTGGTCATTCCCATTCAACAATATCCTCAACTTCAATATCTCCATCACCTGCTGACTTCACTTAAAGTTTTTTTTTAAATAATTTTTTTTGTTAAATCTTTTAATTATTTTCTTTTTGTTGTCAAAAGTCTTTTTCGAGTATATTTTATTTCTTTCATTTTTTTGGTATATTATAGTAGTAAAAAGAGAATTTTTTGGAGGAAGGGAGAAATTTTTTTGTTAATTTTCAAAATAATAAAATTATTTTTGGAATTTTAACTTTAATTTAGGTCGTTACACTAATGATTGAGATTTTTGAAAAGCCTGGGCCAGTTACAGTCAGGATTTGATTTACTGACATGGGCCGGATCCTGGGAGTCCAGGAAAAACTGTGGAAGTTCAAAAAATGCCTGGACACTGGGTACAGGAAAACCCAGGCCTTGGTCCAGACCCAGGCTTACTAGTCTCCAAAAATATTCTACTTAAATTTAAAATAAAAAGCATGTTATTCAAAATAACTGATTTTTTTTTATTGTTTTCTTTTTTGTTTTAGTCAAAAAAATTTATTTTAAAATTAAATTTAGAAAAAAAAAGAACTTAATATATATATTTTAAAAATCACTCATAAAAATTATATTTTATTTAAGAAAAACACTTTCCCTCCTATAATAATGATTTTAATTTTTCTTTTTTTTAACTGATGATATTTTTTGTTGTTTCGTTTTTTTAGATTCAAACGTTTGAACAGAAAAAACGAAAGATTTCATATATTGGATCAACGTTTGAATGTTTACTTAAATATATTTTAAAATTAGAGACTGAACATTAGAGAGAGAGAGAGAGAGAATGAGAGAACATCCTCAACAAAAAGAATCTTTTTCGGTTATTAAGATTAATTTCTTTCGAGATGTCGAATCTCGGTTCTCATTAGGGATGTCACTGCTTGTTATCCGATACCCGAAACCCCGAACTTTTTTTTTCGATCAGAAACCCAAACCGACCTTTTTCGATCAAAACGACTTTTTTCTTAACCCGCGAGGGAACAATGAGAGAAAAAACTTGAACAAAAAACAATGAGGAAACAAAAAAAAAGGATTCTCTCAATACGCCTTTTTAATAGTTCTGTCTCTAATTTTATAATAATTAGGTACATATTTTTAAATATATTTGCTCTGCTCTTGCAATCATTTTTAAATGAAAAAAAATCTCTTTCAATAAACAGTTAAAATTTACTTCAAAAAATCCGCCCATAAATATTATATTTTTTTGTTATTGTTTTTTTTTTGTACGAATTGACAAATTTGAATATTATTTTATTTAAATGGGAAATTGAACTTTAAAAAAAATTTTTAGAAAAAAAATTTTTTTCTAAAAATTAAAAAAAAAAAGTTTAATACCCCAAAAAATTTTTTTTCAATTGTATGTTTTAAAATATTAGAAAAAAATCTAATGATGAAGACCTTTTATATGTATGATTCTTTACTTATATATAAAAATGATTAAATATACATATTATATATATATTTACATAAAATTATTTAAAAAAATAAATATTTTTAAAACAATTTTATTTTATTTTTGAAGAGTTTGAATTTTTTTATTACTAAATTATATATTTAATTTTCAAGGTTATTTAAAAAAAATTTTTTTAAATAAATTTTAGATTGATTACTTAAATATATCCTCTCCCTTACTTTTAATTTATTTATTTTTTTTTTAATTTTTAGAATGCTTTAGAAAAAAAATTTTTCTTAAGTGAAGGTCATAAAAAAATTTTTTTTTAATATTTTGGAAAAATTTTCAAAAATTTTTTTTGAAAAGAATTTTTTGGCAAAAGATAATTCAGAGTGTAAAAATGTTAAAAACACACAGCTGAATAAACGTTTAAACAAAAAAAAATAAAAAATTAGAGGGGAGTCCTCCGTTCACTTTTATAAGTAATCAATAAAATATCAAGTACTGACTAATTACCTTCAATTTAGATTAAAAAAACTTTTCAGATTTTACATAATGTTTATTATTTAATTTATTCTAAAAATAAAACAACATTAAGAAAAACATGGTTTGGATAAAACCGGAATATTTACTTTTTGGTCAAACATTTTGGTTGGTTTTTGTTTTTAATTTATAAAACATTAAAACATTCTTAAAAACATTCTGGAAAACATTTTGGAAAAACCTTCCGGAATACATTTCCGGAAAAACATTTAAAGTTTAATTAAAACATGTTGACCAACATTTTCCGGAAAGTTTATTATTTTTGAACATTTTCCGGAATGTTTTTATAAAAAAGTTTTTCCGGAAAACATCCAAACATTGTTTTTATTTTTCTTAAACATTCCGGAAAAAGTTTCGAAGTTTCATTAAAACATGTTTTGAACATTTTCCGGAATGTTTTAAAAAAAGTTTTTCCGGAAAACATTCATACATTGTTTTTATTTTTATAAACATTCCGGAAAAACATTTAAAAGTTTCATCAAAACATGTCACAAACTTTTCCGATAAATAAACTTCATAAACACAAAACATTTTCCTGGATTTGTTTAGAACATTTTCCGAAATGTTTGTTCATATAAGTTTAAAACAAGCCTTTTTCCGGAAAACATTTTTATTTTTAAAAAGTTTCATGTTTTATTTTCAAGGCAGAACGAACGCTCAAATAAATACTTTATTTTACAAAAACGGAAAGGCCATGATACTGGCAGTCCTGGTACAACTACCGAATTAATTGATGGACAACACGATCGACAGGTTTTTAAAGGATTTTCTAAATAAATTTTAAAAATAATTTTAAAAAGAAAACAGGCTCAGTATCTACAAGAAATACTTCAACTAGTAGTGATGGGAACCAATCAAGTTTGGGTGCTCTTTTTGTTTCTACATTTGATGCAATATTTGACACGCGTCCACCTCCGTATAGAATTCTTTATCAACGGGACTTGGATGATGGGCAGATTGCTTATAGTTTGTTTTTTGTTTTACTAAAAACTTTGTTTTTAATGTTTTTCCGGAAAGTGTTGTTCCGGAAAATGTTTTTGTATGTTTTAAGGATGTTTAGCGTGTTTAAATTGTTTTCCGGAAAATGTTTGGTGTTTGTATGTTTATTTGAACATGTTTTAAACAATTACAACATTTTCCGGAAAATGTTTTGATTATTACTAAACCTTTCCGGAAACTTTGTTTTATTTATTTTCATTTAAATGTTTTCCGGAAAATGTTTTGTTTGTTTTGATTTAAACTTGTTCTCCGGAAAATTTATGTTCAAAATGTTTTTCCGGATTTTATTACTAAACTTTTCCGGAAACTTTGTTTTATTTTTCTCTTAATTTGTTTTCCGGAAAATGTTTTGTTTTTTTGATTATACCTATTTTGTTTTAAGTTTAAATTGTTTTCCGGAAAAACAATTTATTTTACCTGAACATGTTTTATAAAATTAAAAACATTTTCCGGAAAGGAGTTTTCTTTTTCTCTAAACATTGTTTTCCGGAAATGTTCTGTGTTTTATTTTTATCGTTTAAGTTATTGCTGTAGCTGTTGATTGGGAGGAAATATTAAAAGATTGGGATGTTTTGGAACAAACAATTATGCCTGTTTTAAACGCTCTAGAAGACAATGAAGAAGAATTGGCTAAATTTGTATTGAGCAAAATTGAGGGTTTATTGGCTTCTAAAAATGAAGAAGTTGAGAAAAATAAAAATTTGGAGAATAATTTGGATAAAAATGAAGTAAAAAAGGAAGAAAGTAAATTGTTGTCGTCTTCTTTGAATGATAAGGATGAGGAGGAAGACGAATTGGAACAAGTTACAAATGCAGCAATTCTTCGAAAATTTCAAAAACTTTTTGAAATGTCGGCGGATGAGAAGCTTGTTAATTGTAAGAAATTTGAAAATGTATTTTTTTGTATTTTCCGGAAATGTTTGTTTTTGTATTTTCTTGAAATTTATTTGTATTTCCGAAAAGTTTTTTGTACAATGTTTTCCGGAAATATTTTCTATTTTCCGGACAGATTTTGTATTTCCGGAAATGTATTTTTTCGGAAATTTATTTGTGTTTTCCGGAAAGATTTTTTATTTTTGAGAGAATTCTTTTTCTAAAAAATTAATTTTTCCTTTTCAGATTATTCCTGTAGTTATTGGAAAGGAAACAAGCCATTTCAAGGCAAATTATATTTATCAGTCAATTTTCTATGTTTTTATTCTTTTATTGTTGGAAATGAATTAATTGTTAAATTGAGATGGACAGATGTTTTGGTAATTTAATTTGGAAAATATTTTTATAAATAAAATTTAGAAAATGTCTCACAACAATTCTATGCTATCCAGAAGCCTTAATGTTGTAACCAAAGATGGGAGGAAACATGTTTTTTCTGTGTTTATGAACTTTGCTGATGCGTATGTTTTAATGTTTTTAGTCTGAAATTATTACCTACGACTTGTTTTTCGACTGATTTAAAGTTTCAAAAAAATTCCGGAAAACAAGTTTATTAGCAACATATAAAGTAGCCAAAATAAGTGCTTCCGGAAAATGTTTTGTATTTTATTAATCGTTAGTGTTTTGTGTTTTCCGGAAATGTTTTGTGTTTTGTTTTATTTAATCAAACATTTATTTTGTTTTTCCGGAACGCTTTTATTAACAAAATACAAAATGTTTTTCCGGAAATGTTTTAAAAACAAAGCAAGCATGTTTTCCGGAAAGTTTGTTATTTGTTTTATTCAAACTATTTTTACAAACACTGTTTTTTTCAGTTATAAACATGCTTCACAACTTGCCAACTTTGCAATGAAACAACTTATAGAGGAGGAAGGTTTTTATGAAGATCCATCACTTCGCAGCAAATATTTACAAGCGCCAACAAGGAAGCGTTCACAAAAATGCAGTGGTGTTACTTTTGTGAAGAAGGATTTGGAAGCAAAACAAAGGACAGACGCTTACAGGTGCGGTGAATTTTTAAAAATTTTTTATATTTTTAATTATCGGGTAAAATTTGGTCTAACAATAAGAATAATAGAGATGTCCGAGACTCTTGGTCTTGGTCTTGAAACCAAGACTTCTCTTGGTTTTTTTTCGGTCTTGGTCTTGGGGTGTTTGTCTTGGTCTTGTCTTGGTTTTATTTTTTGGTCTTGGTTTTTTGACCTTTTTGGACTTAGTGCTTGGCCATCCAAAATTCAAAAAATTTTCGCCTGCGGCGCTGAAAAAGTGATTTTTTTGGCATACGGCCTTCCAAAATTCTCAAAATTTTTGCCTGCGGCGCAGGAAAAGGAAGATTTTTGGCTTCTCGGCCTTCATAATTCCCAAAATTTTTGCCTGTGGCGCTGGAAAATGAAGAATTCTGGCTTCTTGGCCTTCCAAAATTGTACAAATTTTCGCATGCGCGCAAAAACCTATGGGATTTAAAAATTTGGTCTTGATTTTTGGTCTTGAGTTTTGGTCTTGGTCTTGAGTCTTGGTCTTGGAAAAAATTTTGTCTTGGGTCTTGAGTCTTGGAAAAATTTCGGTCTCGGACATCTCTAAAGAATAAGCCTTTCTCATTGTTCTTATACTAATTTCAAAATGTTTTTCCGGAATGTTTGTAGTGTTTTAATGTTTTTCTCAATGTTTTTTTTATTTATGCAAACATGTTTGTGTTTTTTTGTGTTTCTTTTCCGGAAAAGAAACACAAAAAACACACTTTCTTTCCGGAAGTGTTTCTTTTCTGTTTTTATACTAATTTCTAAATTTGTTTTCCGGAATGTTTTTCTAATATATTAATGTTTCCGGAATGTTTCTTCATTAGTTTTATGACACTTAATTTCTGCTCTTTGGGCTCATGTTTTCCGTAATGTTTCGTGTTTTTATGAAAAGCAGTGTTTGTTTCAATTTTTATCTAAACATTTCCTTTTTCTATTTTTAACTTATAATATCAAATCATCATTTTCATCATCAAATTGTTCATGTCTATTTTTATATTGTGTTATGCCATAACTTATGTTTAAATCATTATCCATAGTTAAATAACCAATTGTGTAGTTTTTTGTATTTAATAATTTTGTTAATTGTTGGGCACGTTCATCACTTGGTTTTAAAACATTGACTAGCCATTTTAATAACTATATTAAATATTTGATTTATTAAATGTTTTTCCGGAATGTTTTTGATATTTTGAAATGTTTTTCGAGAGTTTGTTTTGTTCATATTTTAAACTTGTTTTCCGATCTCTTTAAAAATGTTTTCCGGAATGTTTTTATTATTTTATCATGTTTTCCGGTATTTTGTTTTGTTCATGTTTTAAACTTGTTTTCTCAGAATCTCTTTAAAAATGTTTTCCGGATGTTTTTGATATTTTGAAATGTTTTCCGGAATTTTGTTTTGTTCGTGTTTTAAACTTGTTTTCCCAGAATCTTTCTAAAAATGTTTTTCCGGAATGTTTTTGATATTTTGAAATGTTTTCCGGAATTTTGTTTTGTTCATGTTTTAAAGCTTATGTTTTTCCGGAATGTTTCTGTTTTCTACATTTGTTTCATGTTTTGTATTTTATTTAAAAACACAAACTTTTCCGGAATGTTTGTTTTATGTTTCTCTCTTTTTTTTTTAATCTCTCCCCAAACTAACCTCATCTGTACTCCTTTTTGTGCTTAAACTACAAAAATCTTCACTATATTGTTTAAATAATTTTGCAACCAAAACTTTTTCTCCCTTCAAATCAACTTGTAAAAATTCACTGCTTTTTAAACATTGCCTTGCATTATCACTCAATTCATCATAAATTCCTTCAATGGAATAAGTACGGATTGGAGGGGTTGAACGTGTATAATTGTTTAAACCAAAGTGGGCAAGTGGTTCACCTCCGCGTATAATAAACTTGAAAAATGATTTTTCTTGTGTTTTTGTGTTTTCTTTGTTTGTATTTTCTGTTTTTGTGTTTTTTGTATTTTGTGTATTTCATATTTGTGTTTTTCTGTGTTTCATATTTTGCGTGTTTGTATTTTTTCATTTTTGTGTTTTTCTGTATTTCTTGTGTTTATATTTTTTGTATTTTTATGTTTTTTGTGTTTCGTAATTTTGTGTTTTTCTGTGTTTTGTATTTTTTTGTGTTTGTATTTTTCCGATTTTGTGTTTTATACTTTTTGTGTTTTTCAATTTGTATTTTTTACCTTATTTCTATAATCTTGTTCACCAAAGGGCTTCCACAACATCCCCAAACCTGTATGATTACCACGCAAAATTCCATTAAAAATAGATTGTAATGAATAAAGGTGCCCTCCAATATTGTAATAAGTAAAATATAAATACTTTGAAAGTAAAAAAAGATTCTTGAAATTAAAAATATTTTTGTTACCTTTCTCCTTTGCCATATAGTTCCGGGCAATCCATATTTATAGCTTATATGTATTAACATTATATTGTATATATTTATAAATATTGCTAGTCTCTCTTGTTCGTTAGCTTCAATCAAGTTTAAATAAGCTATTTCTCGAGCTAATGAAGCATATTCTGTTTGGAATGGGTCAAAATCGTCTAATAAATCCAGATGGACTGTCTGTAAAATTTTGTTGTTTTTATTCTGATTTTCTAATTTATTTGTATTTTGTTCTGATTTTATTCTGTTTTTTGTTCTGACTTTTTTTATTTTTAACCAGAAGTTCATTTATATTTAAGTTTTTCTGGGGCTCTTACCCTTTTATTTTCTGATAAAATTCTTTCATAAATTTTATCAATAACTGAAATGAATCTCTTGTTAAATTCTTTCACGTTTATTTTTGGCTTGTCTTCTACTTCAAAATCTTCATTTTCATCATGTATCATATTTAAAGGCAATTTTTGGTCACTTTCTCCATCCACAAGTTTGTAGTAACTTAATAATTGTTTATGTTGCTTTGTTTATTTGTTTAGTTTTTTTATTTGTTTTTTGCTTTGTTTATTTGTTTTTAAAACATTTTTTCAGTTAGAAACTTGTTCTGAACATGTTTTAGTTGTTACAACATGTTTTAAAACTAAACCTACTGGTTTTAAAACATGTTTTGGACATTTTTAATATTCTCAACATTGTTTTGTTTATATTGTATTTTTGTGTGTTTTTCGTAAACTTTATTTAACATGAACATTTACAAACATGTTTTAAAACATGTTTTTTAAAACAAGTTTTAGTTTAAAAATATTTTCAACATTGTTTTGTTTGTTTAAACAGTCACAGTTGTTTTCCGTAAAATTTATTTAATATGAACATTTTTACAACATCTCTTTCAAACATATTATAAAACAAGTTTCTATTGTTATTAAAATATTCTCAACATTGTTTTATTTGTTTAAACGTTCATAATGTGTTTTCCGGAAATCTTTTTCTGTTTAACCGGAAACTTTAACTTTTTTATTTTTATTTTACCGTTCTGTACTAAACGATCTCCCCATTTCAGGTAATGTTGTCATTGAACGTCTTGATGTCATTGTTTCTTTACTATTATTTTCTTTCATCTGTAGTTCATCTATCATTGGTACAGGGCTTGTATTGTCGATGGACCCGCTTCTTTTTTGTTCCATTAATTCTATAACATTTTCATCCAGCAAGTATTGCCCCTTTTGTATTGCTTCACTTCTGTCTTTAGAAAAAAATTTTAATTTTATTAGAAATTTTTTCCCATACATTTTACTTGATTTCTAAACCGTTGTGCTTTTTCTTGTTGTGTTTTTTGTTCACGATTAGGTTTAGACATGTTTTTGGTTTTAAATGTTTGTTTTTTTGTAAATATTAAATTAAAATTGAATGTATTTTCTGAAGCATTAATTATTGTATTTTCTGTGTTTTTTAAAGTTTTTGTGTATTTTCCGGAAAGGGATGAATATACGGAATTGTGTGAATTATATATATTTTCCGGAAACATTACAATATAAACTTGGAGAAACATTTAATATCTATGTTTTTCCGGAAAAGAAATGTTGTGTGTTTTCCGGAAAGAATTTAATTATGTGTGTTTTCCGGAGAAGAAATGTTTTGTGTTTTAGAAATATGTATTTTATTTTCCGGAATGTTTGAAGGTTTTGTGTTTTTCGAAAAGTTTATTTTGTATTTTCCGTAAAGTTTATTTAATTTTTAAGAGTGTAAAAGTTTAATTGTGTTTTTGTTTTTAATTTTATAGGACACACGTTTTAATTAAATTTTAAGATTGTAAAAATATCGACTTTTTAAAAAAACTTGCGCGGCGGCGCAGCAATCTGAAAAGGTTTTGTGAAACAAGTTGAGTGTTTGTTATACATATTTGTATTTTCTCGTAAAGAAAATAAAGAATCTCGTTTTATATTGATAATATTAATGTCTTTTATTGGACAAGTTGGGGAAATTTTTTTTCTATTTTATTTATTAGTCAACATTCTTTCTCTCTTATTTTTAATAAAAAACTTAAATTTTTTCTATTTTTTTAAATTTTTTTGTTAAGACAACTTTTGTAATTTTATATATTACTTTTTAAAAATATTTTTTTATAATGACGCATGTATTTCCTGTGTACTTAAAATTTCAAAATATAAAAAATACGTTTGTTTGTGTGTGTAAATGTGTTTTTGTTAAGGAAGGAATTTTTTGAATATTTTTTCCTCTAATTTAGATTTTTTTAATTTTTATTTTTTTTATTTTTTTAATTCAGATTTTTTAATTTTTTTAATAATTCTTAAGGCCTTAAGAGGCTTTTTAAATTTTTTCTTTATTTTTCCCCTATTAATTTTTAAAAAAATTTTTTTACATATTTTCTGATCTCTCATAAGCCACGTTACAAAATCTTCTCCTTTAAAAGCTTCCTTATAAATTATTATTCCTTGTGAAAGTGTCCATGTTTGGTGCTCTCGTATAAGCCCAGCTCTTCTTATTTTTTGGGCAAAAATTTGAAATTCTTTTTTTCTTGCTCTGCTTTCTTCACTTTCAGTTTCTCTTCTTAATCTAATTGAAGGTAATTTTGTTAATTTATTTTGATTTTTATTTTGTTGTTGATGAATAGGTGTTGATGCTACAACAATATCATTCATTTTCCTTACAATTAGCTTTCTAATTAATTTAAAAAAAATTATTTTTTGCTAAAAAAAGAAAATTTTAATTTTGAATTTTTCTTTAAAAACCTGCATTTTATTTAATTAATTAATTTTTAATTTTTTTCTGATATAATTAGGTATGCGTGATCTTTGTGCTTATCATAATAAAATATTTTTTAATGTTTGTTTGCATATTAAAAAATATTTTTTTAAAAAATCATAAATTTATTTAAAAAAATGTTTTTCTGAAGAAAATGTTATGTGTGGGAGGAGAGGGAAAAAAGGTGATTGAGAATTGCTACAAAAAAATCATTTTTCAAATTAATAAAAAAAAGGAAAATAAAATTTTTGTTCGCATAAAATGACGAATAAAGATTATAGGAAATTTTTTGAATGATAAAAAAAATTATTTTTAATAATAATTTTTCTTTGTAATATTATCAGAAACATTTTTTTAACAATACACTAATTAGGAATAAGGTGTTTGTAATTTTACAATCCTTTTTTATGTTAATTGTAAAATGTGAAAACATTTAACTGTAAGGAATTGAAGATATGGAATTGTAAAAAATCAAGTCTGATTTGTAATTGCGACGTCGAGTTGAAAAAAAAGCTTGGGGTGTGGATTTGTAAAAATTATAAGTGAAATAATTGCAATAATCTCAAGTTTTACAATCTCAAGTTTTATTTAATTTTTAAGTTTATTTTAGATAAATTTAATTTTAAATTTAAAATAAACTTAAAAATTAAATAAAACTTGAGATTGTAAAACTTGAAATTATTACAAGTGAAAAATAACAAATTGTAAAACTTGGAATTTGATTTGTAATAACTACATATAATTTAAGTTCACACTTGAGATTGTAAAACTTAAGATTATAAACTTGAAATTATATAATCTTGAACAAATAAGACTAACTCTTTTAAGATTGATATATTGTTTTCCTTAAATTGTTAACATTTTGTTATTGTTTTTGTTACCTGTTTATATACATACTTTTTATCTAAATATTTGATCATTTTTTTCTTAAAATATTTTTTCTACCAAATTTATTGAATTTTTTTTTCACTTTTTTTGTTTATCTTTTTTATTAAAATGTTATTTTTTTCTAGATGCCTTTTCTCCCTCCCACATTCCGAACGATTAGACGGTGATCTACCATGTACTCTATATACTCCTTATGACCGCCGTTCTGTGCGTGGTCGCCTCTATTTATCACCAAATTTTATTTGTTTTACTTCAAGGATTGAAAGACAAGTTTCTTTAGTTGTGAGTTTTGTTTTAAAGTTTTTAATAAACTTGGAAATTAAATGAAAACTTCAGGGAATTTAAAACTTGAAAATTAAATAAACTTAAGATTTGTAAAAACTTAAGTTTATAACAATTCTTATGTTGTAAAAACGTGTAAAACCTTAAACTTGAAAATTAAATAAAAACTTAAAACTTAAGATTGCGAGTTTGAGAATTGTATAAAATTTGAAAGCTTAAGATTTGTAAGAATTTAAGTTTACAACTTTCAGCATGTTGTAAAGAAAATTTGTAAAACTTTAAACTTGATTTGTAAAAATTATAATTGAAAAAAAGTTTTAATTTTTAAATAAACTTGAAAATTAAATAAAAACTTGAAACTTAAGATTGCGAATTTGAGAGTTGTGTAAAACTTGAGAAAATAAAGATTGAACTTAAAATTTAATTATTTAATTTTAGTTGTTATTGTGTGATATTATTTCTATCGAAAAACAAAGAACATTTACTGATTGGTTGTCTGGTGGAATAAAAATATGTTTAAATCCTTCTCCTTTGTTTAGTTTACAAGAAGAACAAATTAACAATGATACAAACAATAGAGAATTTTATTTTTCTGGATTGCATGAATTACCTAAAGTTTTGCAACGAATTATTGAATTATGGGAATATTGCAAAAATAATGAACAAATTCGAGTTTGAAAAAAGAAAAAAATAAAAAATTTATTTAAATTAATTTTTTTAGAAAAAATCAAAACAAAATCGCCGTCATTATAGCCCTCGTCAACCACTATCCGAACCTTTATATAAAACTTTTAATAATGTGAAGTCAATTACAACTTGCTCAAGTTTAAAAACATCTAAAGCATGGGAAAAACTTTTTCATGATTTTGGAAAGGATTATTCAATTTATAGAACTGTTGATATGCATCGTTTGTTGCTTGATGGTAGGGTTTGTTTCTGTTTTGTTTCTAATGTTTTTAAGTCTAATCTTGAGTTGTTTTTAAGTTTAATTTTGCTTTTATAAAACATATAGAAAACAAAACATTTTTAAAAACTTCAAACATAAACATGTTTTTAAGTTTAATCTTGAGTTTTATAAAACATATAGAAAACAAAACATTTTTAAGAATTTAAAACAAACATGTTTTAAGTTTAATCTTAAGTTTTATAAAACATGTAGAAAACAAAACATTATTAAGAGCTTAAAACTTAAACATGTTTTTAAGTTTAATCTTAAATTTATTTTTTTCAAAACATGTTTTTATTAAAATGTGTTGTGTTTTGAGTTTATTTAAATGTTTGTGTTTTTGAATGTTTTAAGTTTATGTTTTCTTTATTATTTGTTTTATACTTAAATGTTTTTGTGTTTTAACCATGATGTTTTATTTTTTGTTTTAAGTTTGATCCTAAGTTTTTTTTATCTTTTTGTTTGCAAAATTAATTTTTAGTTGAAATGTTTTTATTTATTTAAATTTTCTGTCTTGTTTGTTATGTTGTTTTTGCATGTTTAAGTTTTATTCCCTTATGTTTTGTTTTGTGTTCTTAAAAATGTTTTTATATTTTCTACATGTTTTTGTGTTTCTAGTTTTTTTTCATCAATGTTTCTTGTTTTTACATGTTTTTATTTAATTTTTTATTTTAATTTCTTAGGAGTTCCACCCGAACACAAAGCCCGCATGTGGGGTATTTGCTCTGGCGCTTATTGTGAAATGCGTTTGAACCCAGGGGAATATCGTGCACTTGTTCGCAAAAGTCGTCGTTCTCAAGCATTTGCTGAGTTTACAATGGAAGAAATTGAACGTGACTTGCATCGGTGGGTGCGTTAATTTTTTGAGGGGATTAAACAAACAATTTCATGTCAAGACAGTTCACCGAATTTTTTATCAGGACAATTCACTGACAAAGTCTCACGGTGAGCTGTCTGAATTTTGAACTGTCCTAACGCTCTTAAATAATAGTATTGGAGGTGGATAACAAAAAAATTTTTTTAAAGCTCACTTCCCGAGCATCCAGCATTTCAATGTGGAAGTATTGGAATTGACGCTCTTCGCCGTATTTTGAGCGCTTATGCTGTTCGTAACCCAACTATCGGTTACTGTCAAGCAATGAATATTGTTGCTGCCGTATTTTTGCTTTATGCACCAGAAGAATTAGCCTTCTGGTTATTGGTAGCAGTTTGTGAAAGACTTTTGCCGGATTATTACAATAATAAAGTTGTTGGTGCTCTTGTTGATCAAGGTGCGTGTTTTTATGCCAGGACATTTCACCGAATTTTTTTTGTCTCGACAATTCACCGAATTTTTTTGTTTTGACAATTCACCGACAAATCGCACTACGGTGAATTGTCTGTTTTGTGAACTGTCCTAAAACTATTTTATTTTTTTCTAATTTTCAATTCAAAAAAAGGTGTTTTCTCTGATTTGGTTTCACAATCTTTACCTGAACTTCACTGTCATATGCTTAAATTACAATTAGACGATATGGTAGCACTTGGCTGGTTTTTAACAATTTTTCTTTCTGCAATTAAATTTGAAGCTGCTCTTCGTATTATCGATTTATTCTTCTTTGAAGGTTCCAAACTTATTTTTCAATTAGCTTTGGAAATGCTTCGTCAAAATAAAAAGGCTATATTTGATGCTAAAGATGAAGGGGAGGTTGGTTGTGTTTTTTGTATTTTCCGGAAAACATTTTAATTTGTGTTTTGCTTTAATTAAACATTCCGGAAAGAAATAATATTTTTCCGCTTGTGTTTTTCCGGAAAACTTTAAATATTTGTTTCTGTTGTTCAAGTTTTCCGGAAACTTACAAATATATTATTGTGTTTTCCTAAACATTCTAAATTCAACTTTCCGGAAAACTTGAACTTTTTTTCTTTTATTAACTCTTATTTCTCCACTTGTGTTTCCCGGACTTTCAATTTAAATAATTCTTGTATTTTCTTAAAAACTTGAAAATTGACTTGTTTTTTCGGAAGTTTTGTTTGTTTCAGGAAAACTTAATCATTCTATTAAACCAACTTAATTTTCCGGAAAATAAACTTAAGTTCTGCTTCATTTGTTTCAAATTTTAGGCGTTTCAAGCCCTGAATGCATTCACCGATAAAATTACAGATTCAAACGTGAGGAATAGTACTGAGGTAGTTAAAGAATAAATTTAATATTTATTTTTTTAAATCTTTTATTTCAGATATTTATTGGAGATTTATTAGCCTCCTCCTACACCCATTTTTCTACCGTTTTTACAAATGAAAACATTGAACACCTACGTTTTAAGAATCGCCTCAAGGTTGTACAAAAACTTGAAGAATGCCAAATGAGGTCAATTGTTAGAAGTGTTGGTTGTGATTGTAGATTAACTGAACAAGAGCTTCGAACATTATATAATGCTGTTAAGGTGTTTTTATTATTATTATTTTTGTTAAAGGAAAAAATTTCTCTTTAGGAAGAACATTTGCTTTCGTGGCGCGCTCGTCTTTCAACTACAAGTTATTTGCGAACAACTCGTGGAATTGTGGAACGGTAATTTATTTTTAATTTTCCGAAAACTTAAGTTTTGTGTTTTTGTTTTCCGGAAACATTTTTAATTTTCCGAAAACTTAAGTTTTGTGTTTTTGTTTTCCGGAAACATTTTTAATTTTCCGAAAACTTAATTTTTGTGTTTTTGCTTTCCGGAAACATTTAATTTTATGGAAAACTTAAGTTTTGTGTTTTTGTTTTCCGGAAACATTTAATTTTATGGAAAACTTAAGTTTTGTGTTTTTGTTTTCCGGAAACATTTTTAATTTTCCGAAAACTTAAGTTTTGTGTTTTTGTTTTCCGGAAACATTTAATTTTATGGAAAACTTAAGTTTTGTGTTTTTGTTTTCCGGAAACATTTTTAATTTTCCGAAAACTTAAGTTTTGTGTTTTTGTTTTCCGGAAACATTTAATTTTATGGAAAACTTAAGTTTTGTGTTTTTGTTTTCCGGAAACATTTTTAATTTTCCGTCAACTTAAGTTTTGTGTTTTTGTTTTCCGGAAACATTTAATTTTATGGAAAACTTAAGTTTTGTGTTTTTGTTTTCCGGAAACATTTTTAATTTTCCGAAAACTTAAGTTTTGTGTTTTTGTTTTCCGGAAACATTTAATTTTATGGAAAACTTAAGTTTTGTGTTTTTGTTTTCCGGAAACATTTTTAATTTTCCGAAAACTTAAGTTTTGTGTTTTTGTTTTCCGGAAACATTTAATTTTATGGAAAACTTAAGTTTTGTGTTTTTGTTTTCCGGAAACATTTTTAATTTTCCGTAAACTTAAGTTTTGTGTTTTTGTTTTCCGGAAACATTTTTAATTTTCCGAAAACTTAAGTTTTGTGTTTTTGTTTTCCGGAAACATTTTTAATTTTCCGAAAACTTAAGTTTTGTGTTTTTGTTTTCCGGAAACATTTTTAATTTTCCGAAAACTTAAGTTTTGTGTTTTTGTTTTCCGGAAACTTTTAATTTTATGGAAAACTTAAGTTTTGTGTTTTTGTTTTCCGGAAACATTTTTAATTTTCCGTAAACTTAAGTTTTGTATTTTATTTTCCGGAGCTAGGTATTTTTAATTTTCAAAAACTTAAGTTTTTCTTTTGTCATTTACCAGCTTCATATATTTTTAGTCCTCGTCAATTTCAATACATGCACTCACAATACCGATTAGATTTTGAATTATTTTCACTAATTTTGGGAAAATCATTGCCATGGCAGGTAAACTTTTTTATTCAAATAAAAAATATCATATTATAAAAAATCATTCCATTTTAGCCTGCTGATATTTTCTTTGTTCGTGCATTCCGAGTTGGTAGTTTATTTTTTAATTTCCAATTTTATTTTTTTTTCAACTTTTGTCATTTTTTAATTTTTTATTCAAAATTTCAGCTTTTGGATGTAAATATGACGGGTATTCTAACATTTCGAGATTTGGCTTGTTTTTTGAGTACATTACTTCGAGATGATCCTACTGAAAAATTGACCTTGCTTTATAGGTATTTTTAATTTTAAAAATATTCAAAAGAATTTAATTTTTAGATGTCACATTCCTCCAGCATTTAACATGTCTGATTTGGATGAGATTATTCCAAATTCTGTTGATGTTAATTCTACTGATGGTATGTTTGTTTGAGTTGTTTTTCTTTTTTTAGTTGTTTTAAATTTGTTTTCCTGAGAAACATGTTTTGTTGTTTCTTTAATGTTTTAATTGTTTTTCCGGAAAAGTTGTTTTGTAGTTTGTTTTTCAAAGAAACATGTGGTTTGGTATTATTAAAATGTTTTAATTATTTTTCCGGAAACTTGTTTTTCTTAATTTGTTTGTTTCAGTTAAAACATGTTTTGTTCTTAATGTTTTATTTGTTTTCCGGAAAAGTTGTTTATAGTTTGTCTTTCAGACAAACATGTTCTGTTGTTATTAAAATGTTTTGGTGTTTTTCCGGAAACTTGTTTTTATTAATTTGTTTGTTTCATGGAAAACATGTTGTTGTGTTGTTTTTTCGGAAAACTTGTTTAAGTTTGTTCTTCTTCTAAACATAATAAATCATGTTTTCCGGAATGTTTCAAACTTGTTAACAACTTGTTTTTACATGTTTATCTTTTACTCAAACATTCTAAATAAACAAGTTCTCAATTTTAGATAAACAAGAAGAATCATGTTTTGAAGCAGGCGATGTTTTAGGCAGCGATAATAATGCAACACCCGCAAAAACTGATGATGAAGCAACAAAAGAGGAAACAAATAAAATTAAAGAAGAAACCGATTTAATTAAAGAAAGTGTCGACAATCCAATTATTAAAATGAGTGTTAGTTCTTCCCTCCCAATATTGGATAATCAACAACAACAACGATTATCTTCATCATCTTCATCATTCTCACTTGGAACAACTTTATCTATTGTAAATTGATTTTTAAATTAAAGAAAAATTTTTTTTCTTTAATTAGGCAAGTACAAATGTCAATTTTATCAATAAAGTAAAATTACCTGAAGAAGAAAATGTAAATAAATGGTTTCCGTCGAGCAAAACGGAACAAGAAGAAAATCAAAAAATTAATAAAAAATTAAAAAAACAAATTATAATAACTAGTTGTTCGTCTCCCTCAATTTCTACTACTACTGCTACAGCATTAACCATAAATGAAGATAATAATGCACTTTTACGATCTATGACTACAACAGATGAAACTTTTACTGAAGAAGAAAGTCGTAGCGAATTTAGTGGTAAATTTTGTATTTTGTTGTGTTTTTCCAGAAAATACAATTTTTGTTTTCAGAATTTTCTCTATTAAACACGGATAACCGTCTTCTCCAACGACAAAAACTTTTAGACGAAAATGATAGCAAAACAACAAATGTTTGCAACGCAAAAGTTAAACCAGAGAGAAGGCCTTTACAAACACAACTTGAACATATTAATCAAGTGGGTGTTTCTCTTTTTTAAAAACAAATTCCGGAAAACAAGTTTTTAGAAATCTTTCTAGTTTTGTTCAAATAAATAAACTTGTTCGAGAACTTGTTTTCCGAAAAAGTTAATATTTTTTTCGGAAAACAAGTTTATTTCTATTTTTATAAAATATGTAAAAATGTTTTCCGGAAAGCAACGTATTTTAATTTTGAAACAAATTCCGGAAAACAAGTTTTTAGGGATTTTTTTATTTTTGTTTAAATAAATAAATAAACTTGTTTGAGAACTTGTTTTTGTGAGTTATATTTTTTCCGGAAAACAAGTTTATTTCTATTTTCATAAAATATATAAAAACGTTTTCCGGAAGGATTTCCAACATCAATTTTTCCGCAAAACAAAATTTGTTTTGTTTTAGATTCAATTTATTCAATTTTGGAAAACAATTTATGATATGATTGGAAGCATGAATATATTAAACAATAATAATTTATATTCATCTCCCTCAACGTCTACTCAAAGTGAAGGAGCATTTTTATTACCTCCTCCTCATTTACCATCTCAAGAAGAGGATGCAAATTTGTTTAATTCATTAGCTTTTGCTGGTACTTTATTGTTACAGTTGGGAGATGCTAATAAAAATCATCGGTTAGAAGAAGAAAAAAAAATTTAGAAAAAATTTCAGAAAAAATATTTCATTTTTAGAGAACAAGTAGAACGGCAAATAGTCGAAGCTCTAGGTGAAGATGCTAAAGCAACAATGTCTGTCGCAATGAATTTGGCTGAAAATAACGAAGACAACAACGAGAGGGGAAAGAAACCTGGGGATTTAGATTCTTGGTGGCTTCGAATTTTTTTTTTTAATTTTTAATTAATTTAAAAATAATTTTTTTCTAGTATTAAAGACGGTGAATGGCGTTTATCACTTCAACAAATTATAGCTACAGTTTTGGCTCAACCTTCTCTGGCAACATTTTTCGAAGGAAAATATCCTTTATTTTTATTAAACCAACAACAACAATCACCTTCTTGTAGTACAAATACATCAACAGCTTCTTCTCCTATCAAAACATTTCCAAATAATTAATGAAGTGAGTATTTTTCTTTAAAAACAAGTTTTCCGGAAAACAAGTTTTTAGTTCGATTAATCTTTCTCTTTGTTTGGAATAAATAAACAAACTTGTTTTCCGGAAAATTTATATATTTTTCCGGAAAACTACTAGTTTATTTTTTAACTCAAATGTTTTTCCGGAAAACTTTATAAAAATACTTTCCGGAAAAAGGAAGCGTTTGAATTTTCAGCATCAATTTTCCGGAAAACAAGTTTAGTTTTTTTCTCGAATAAACTTCAAAACTTGTTTCAGAAACACTTGGGGTTTTTTAAAATATAAACCATTTATTTTTAGAAATTTTTATTTTCATCTCTTCTTGTATCTTTTTTTTTAGATTTCCTTTTCACTTGCTTTATCATCCAAAAAAATTTTTTTCAAATATTTGTATAAAATCAAACTCATATCAACAATAACAACAACCAACATTTATTTTGGTAAAAAAAGACATGTTTTTATTTAAATTCACTTTATTCCTCTTGGGAATGCAATCAGTAAAAACTTAAACCAAAAATATATATAAATATATTTATTTGTTTATTTTACAAAATATTCATGTTTGCCTTCAATGTATGTTTTTAACAAACACATTATTTAAAATAATTAATCTAAACATGTTTATGTCTTTTAAATGTTTTTGTCTTAAGTATATGTTTGTTTGTTTTAAAAACTTTAATGTTTGTCTTACATGTTTTTCCGGAAAAATCAGAATTTTGTTTTTAAGCAAACTCTTTAGTAAAAACTTTCCGGAAAGATCAGAATTAATTTTTTCCGGATGTGTTTTCTTAAATCTCTACACAAAAATAGAATGGTTTTTCCGGAAAATATTTCCGGAACAATCAGAATTATTTTTTCGGAACTATCAGAATTATTTTTCAAGCTTACTTTTCAGTAAATCCTTCCGGAAAACACAAATATACACTTAAGGTAACATTTCCGGAAAAATCAGAATTACCTATGTTTTCAAGTTAACTCTTTAGTAAAAATTTTTCGGAAAGATCAGAAATAATTTTTCCGGATATGTTTTTGTTAAATCTTTTCTTAAAAATCAGAATTATTTTTCCGGAACATTTAAATTATTTTTCAAGCTTACTATTTTCAAGCTTAATTATTTTTCAAGCTTACTCTTCAGTAAATTTTTCCGGAAAACTTTAAGGGAACACTATACACTTAAGGAAACATTTCCGGAATAATCAGAATTATATATATTTATGTTCTCTATTTTTATTCTTTTCTATTATTATTTCCGGAATTTATATCATCATTCTCTATTAAACATCTAATTTTTTTGTATTAATGCCTTACAATTATTTGTTTTTACTTTAAACGTGTAATTGCCTCATACATACATTATTTTTTAAATTTTACTTTTTTCTGCTAATCTAGGTCTTTAAAAATATTTTTTTAATTTTATCAACCAAAAATTGTTTAGTTATTTTTTACAAATTTTAAATAAATTATTCTAAATTAAAAAAAATTTCTTTTAATTACTTATAGGGGAAATTAAATAATAAAAAAATTTAATTAATTTAATTTATGGAAAATTAATGAAAATTAAGGTTTTTTTAGTTTATAATTAATTTTAATTAATTTTTAATTTTTTAGATCAATAATTATTAAACACAGATTTATTTCTTTACAACGGTCAATCACTCATTTTTCAATGGCTCTTTTAAAAGGACCACACAAAAACAACAACAAATGCTTCTATTTTTAAATTTCTTCTGATTGTTGCTCTAACATTGCTTCCATTAAGGTAGATCTGACTGGTTTTTAAATTAGGTAGTTTGCTTATAAATTGAGTTTGTAAAATGAAGTAAAACTTGACGAAAATTGTAAAACAAATAAGTTTGCAACTTTGCAGTTTTAAAGTTTTACAATTTGTAAAAACTTTATACATTTCATTTATATGATTTGTAAAACATTTTGCGAATTAAAAACTTTTTACAATTTGTAAAAAGTTTATTTTTATTTTTTTATTTATTTTTACAATTTGTAAAAACTTCTATTTTATATGATTTGTAAAAGACATTTTTCTTAATTTAAACTTTTTACAATTTGTAAAAAATGCTGCATTTGTAAAACCTTTTTTGGATTTTTATTTTTACAAATTCTACAAACCTTTAATATTTCAATAATTTGTAAAACTTTGTATTAAAACTTTTTACAATTTGTATCAAGTTTAATTTAATTTTACAAATCAATTTTTAATACTTTTCTTTTACAATTTCAAATGACCAGTAATCAAAACAAAAACATTAACAACTCCAACAAACGACAAAAACAACTTGGACGAATTTCTTCTCTTGGTTCGTTGTTTCCTCAATCATTTAATAATAATACAAACAAGCAACAACATCCGATTGTCTATAGAGGCCGTAGTTTTGTTAATTTACTTCCTCCTCCTTCAAGAATTGAACAAAATGGTGAATTAATTTTTTTAATAATATTGGGGGGTATAGATTAATTATATAACCGGAAATGGAAAGGTAATTAAATGCAAAAAATATAAAAAGTTTTTGGGTTGTCATGACATTATCTTTTACTTTTTTTGTTGGCTAAGAATGTACTCTTAAATATTTTCTTTTGTTTGGTTTTAATATTTCCTATTGGTCATTAGTTCTTTTTTTAATTAAAAAAGTGTTAACAGAATATATAAGAAAGGGAAGGGGGATTGTCGTCATTATTTATGTACTTATAGGTTTGTAGGTCCCACAAACATAATTTTCTCCTTTTGTTGTTTATTTGTTTTTCTCTTCTTTCCCTTGTTTTTCTTATAATTAGTTTTTACAATTTGTAAAGTTTTTACAATTTGTAAAAACTTTATTCCTTTGTGTTTTTACATGATTTGTAAAACTTTTTTAAGAATTAAAACCTTTTACAATTTGTAATCAAGTTTTATTTTATTTTACAAATTGTAAAAACAATGCTCTTCTAATTGTAAAAACAATGCTCTAAAACAATGCTCTTTTATTTTAATTTAATTGTAAAACTTTTTTACAATAAGCGTTAAGTTTGATTTAATTTTACAAATTGTAAAGCTTGCTGTTTTACATGATTTGTAATTTTAAAACATTTTTAAAAATTAAACTTGTTTTCAAATTTAAATTAGTTTTACAGTTCAAGTCTTACAATTTAATAATTTAATTAATTTAGCACTTCCACCATTATTATGCACTCGTGTCAACAGTGACAAATTTGTGAATTACATGAGCGGCTCTCCTCCACCCCTTCCACCTAGTGACTTGAAGGATTCATCAAAATCATCATCATCGCCTTCTTCTCAATCTATTCAGAAACAACAACAACAACATTACCAGAAAAGGCAAAACCAAAGGCGTCGTCCTTTCTCGGTTAGTGGAAGCAACGTCGATGCTATTTCTGTTGTGCGTCATGCCCCAATGTAAGTTTTGTATTTTTAAAAGTAATTATTTTTGTATTTTCTTAAATTTTCTTTAATTCTGATTTTTCTATTTTCGAAAATTCTGGTTTTTGTATTTCTCGTTTGTATTTTTTATTTTTCCCTTTAATTCTGGTTTTTGTATTTTTTCTTTATTAATTACCCCAAATATTTTTAAAATTAATTGATCATTTTTACACTTTACTAAAACCTTTAAAAATTAGCTTATCATTTTTAAAGATGATTTTTTGTTTATTTGCTTTTTAAATAATTTTTTTTTATTTCTCATAATATTTCTAAGTTATTCTTTTTTAAATAAGAAATAATAACACAAAACAGCTGTTTATTTTTAGTTATTAAAAATAATTTTTTATTTTTCTTTAGCAGCTGAATATTTCCCTAAAAATTATTTTTTGGAAAAACACAGAAATACAATATGTTATTTTGATGTTAAATACACGACCAGAATTTTTAAAAATACAAAAACCAGAATTATTTAAATATATAAACCAGAAAAGTTTCTAGAAATACAAAATCAGAATCGAAAAATAAAAAAATCAGAATTTTCGAGAAAACACAAAAATACAAAAAAATACAAAATTAAATATAAAAATAGAATCCGAAACAAACAAAATTTAAAAAATCAATTAATTTAAAAACACACCAGAATTCTTAAAAATACAAAAAATCAGAATTTTGAGAAAACACAAAAATACAAAAATAACTATAAAATCAGAATCCGAAACAAACAAAATTTAAAAATCAGAATTAATTTAAAAACACACCAGAATTCTTGAAAATACAAAAACCAGAATTATCCTGAAATACAAAATTTAATTAAAATACATTTCATTAAATTAAATTTATTATTTTTCATGCATATTTATTATTCATTTTTATCCATTCTCTCTCATCCATTTTTCAAAAAAAAAGTTTATCCCGAAAAGTTCCATTTATATAATTTCTAGTATTTTTTTTTCACTTTTCATTTTGTGATGTTTATTATTTTTTTTCCACATCAACACGCGCACTAATCCCTCAATCCCCCCTTCCCCCTGACTTTCCCTGTCCTAATCTAATTTTTTCGTTGTTTTTCAACTTGGACGGGGAAAAAATAGAAAAGCTCTAGTAGTGTATTTAGTAATAAGCTAGTATATATTTTTTTATGTTTATATTTAGAGAGGGAAAAGGGCAAAAATGAAATGTACTTGTAGAAGAGGAGAGACCTCTAAAGCTTTAGTTATAATTTTTGGGCCCCAAAAATTTTAAAAATTTCGAACAAAATTTAAATAATTTTTTAAAATATTTTTTTTGAGTCAGAAGCCCCCCAAAAATTGTAAAATTTTTGGGGGGCTTCTTTAAAATAATATATTTTTTATTTAATGATTCATCAAATTTAATTTTTGGATTATTTTAGGATTTAAAAAATTCAAAATTTTTTTTATTTTTTTATTTAATTTTTGAATCCTTTTTTAGTGAAAACAAAATTTTCTCCCTAAATTAATATAGGAAGCCCTCTAAAAGTTTTTTTTTATTTTATTCTCAATTTCCCTCCATTATTATGCCATTTTTGCCTTTAAAGCCCCATATCATTTACATTAAAAACAGACAAAAATGGAGAGGGGAGAAACCAAGACCAACAGACCATCACCACCATCAATATATATCCTACTTTAACAGGCATTCCCGCTTTTATTCTCTCTCATTTTTATTTTTTAATTTTCAATTAGATAAAAAGGAGGGGAGGGGAAGATTGGCACGGCTCTTTAAAATAAATATTATATCTGAATATATTCATTTATAGCTTTTTATGAACGGTGTTTTAATTTTATTTATTCTATGAATATTTTTTGAGAACAAATTTTGAGGATTTTTCCAAAGGAAAAAAAAATTTTTTTTTCTAAATTTTAAAATGTAGGACCTATTTATAAAATGACCTTTTCATAAAATACTTCAAATACTAAATGTATATTTAAGACGGATTTTGGTATCAATTTAATTTAAGACCTTCAATTTAAGACGGATTTTGGTATCCGGATATATCCGCGAGTATCCGGATATTATCCATATCCGTGCACAAGTCTGGTCTAAACAATGCTCCCCATATTTTTTAAATACACTTCTCTCTTTTTACAAAAAATCTTAAAGAATTTTTTTTCAGCAAAATTCTTTTTCAAAAGAGTTTTTTTTTAATCATTACAGATTAATTTTAAAAGATTAAAGAAGCCATTTAAAGGATTTTTTCAAATTTTTTCTTCCTTATCCTAAAATTAAGGAAAAAATTGAAGCGCTTTTAAAATGTCTAGATTCATACATTTAATTATTCTAGAAGCATTCTAAAAAAATTTTTTTTTCAATTTTATTATAATTTTTTAATTTTACAAAAAAATCCTTTTTTCATACAGACACTTATTTTTAATTTTTTTATTTTCTTTTTTTTAATAATTTTTAATTAATTTAATTTCTCGCTTTTTTGTATATTCCATAAAATTTTAATATTTCAAAATTCAAAAAAAAAAATTCAAGAAAAAAATTAAAAAAAAATTTTTTTTGACAAGGCGACAATTTTCAACATCAAATACAACAATAATTTCCTCTCCTCCTTCAGCCTCTCAACAACAACAAAAAGAAGAAGAAAAACAATTAAATTTAAAAATGTTTAAAAAAGACGAAAAAGACGAAGAAGATGAAAATACAACAACAACAACAAATTTAATTAATTGTAGCCTTAAAGAAAGTACAAGTTGTGGTGGAGGTCAACAACACGAAATTGTAAAAAGACAAGTATCTAATTCGTTGGATGTTGAAGTGGGGCATCCCAGAAGCAAGTTTTATTAAATAAATACAAGAAAATACAAATAAAATACCGAAAAAATACAAAAACTTATATCACAATAAAGGCAAAATACAAAATCAGAGTTTTTGTATTTTTGTTGTTAATTTTAAAAACACAAATAAAATTCTGATTTCATATAAAACTTGAAAATACAAAATAATTCTGGTTTTTATAAATATTTAACAAAGTATACAATCAAACTTGTTTAGATTCAAGTTTTAAAAGCAAAATTCTGATTTTTGAAAACAAAAAATACAAAACAAACTTTGTTTTTAAACTTGTTTTACAACTTTTTTCAAAACTTCAAACTTGTTTTCAAACTTTTTCTTTGTTTTAAATAAAACTTGAATCTGAACAAGTTTAAAAAATTTAAAACTTATTAATGTTCAGATTCAAGTTTTTTCAAAACTTGTTTTTATTTTTAAATACCTATTCTGATTTTTTTCTTTTTTTTAATTAGTTCGTTCAACTAGTACTACAGGAACAGCTTCATCAGCTATTGATAGAAGAAGTGTTTCACAACATAATCAGTTACAAGAGAAGGCGTCACTAAAAAGCAGTTTAAAAATTGAGGTAGTTTTTATTTTTATTTGAATGTTCAGATTCGTTTATTTTTTAATTCTGAAAAAAATTCTGATTTTTCACCTTAAACAAATTAGTCTCTTTAAAACACGAAATTAAATAAATAAACTTGAATTTCAACATTTAAACAAACTTGAATATTAAAACTTGGATTTAAACATTAATTATTAAAACTTATATTTCTCTTGATGTTCGAATTAGCTTCTGATTTGTTTTTAAAGCTTAAGTTTTTATAAAACAAGTACACCAACATTTTTATGTTTTAAAAAGAAATAAGAATTTTTGTTTCAACAAAATTAAATAAATAAACTTGGATATAAACATTCAAATTAATTGAAATATTTTTTAAGGATACTATACTTCGATTAAATATTGGAGGAAGTTCTTATCGAATTAGAACTAGAAGCATTTTGAAACATGGAGCTGATACTTTGCTTGGCCGGTGAGAAAATGTTTTTTATTTTATTTTTATTTATTTTAAAGTTTTATTCGAATGGACGAACAACATAGAAGGGCTTGGGCTGATGCTTATTTTGAAGAGGAAAGTGAATATTTTTTTGAACGTGTCCCGAGATATTTTGATCCTGTTTATGATTTTTATGCTTCTGGAAAATTGCATGTACCTAAAGATTTGTGTTTTGACAAGTTTATGGCGGAGGTGTTTTAAACTTTTTAAAATTAAAATTTGGAAATAAATTATAAAATAAGCTTGAATCTGAACATTTCAAAATTAATGTGGAATGAGTGTTGTAATAAAACTTGGAAAACAAACTTGAATACATTGAAAAATAAAACTTGGATCTAAACATTCAAATGTTCATATTCAAGTTTATTTTATTTGTTAATTAAACCTGGACACATTATTAAGTTTTAAGAAAATCAGAATTTATTTCGAACATTAAGAGAAATAAAACATGTTTTAAAACAAGTTTTGTTAAAAACATGTTAAGACAAACAAGTTTATTTTAATGTTCGAATTAAATTCTTATTTTTCTTTTTAAACCCCCCTCAATTCCTTTATATTTTCAGCTTCGTTTTTGGTCTGTTTCAAAAGCAAAAGTTGACCAGTGTTGTTCGCCTTTCGCCCAATATTATTTGTACAAAAAGACTAAAAATTTGGATACTCCTGTGGGTTTTTTTACATTTATTTTTTAAGTAAAAAAATTATTTAAAATTCTCTCTTAAGGATGATCTTCCAGGATTTTTAAAACGCAAAACTTTTGACCCAGAAAGTTTTTTTCTTCTGTGTTTTTCTGATTTTTGTATTAAATTAGCTAACCTTTTCTCCCCCAAAACATATTTAATTTTAACAATTTTTTCCTTTTATTTTTTTTATTTTAATGTTGTTTCTCTTATTTATACCCCTAAAAACTCTTAAAAACCTTCAAATTTTTTCCTTAACTATTTTTTACTAAAATGTAAATAATTCTAACAATTTTTGGGTGTGTTTTAATTATAAATTATAATTGAAAAGAATTTTTTTCTAGGAGAAAGACCATTTTATTGGTCTCCGCTGTGCTAAAGTACGTAGACGTTTGTGGTTGATACTTGAAGGTATATTGATGTTTTTAAAACTTGAATTTGAACATGTTTACAACTTTAATTTTAAATAAACTTGGATCTGAACATTACAATTATTTGTTTATTAAAAATCAGAATAAAACTTGAATTTAATTTAAACATTTAAATAAACTTGAATTCTATAAAAACATCTAAAAACATCAAAGTTTATTTAATTTATAATCCAAGTTTGTTTAGATGTTTAAAAGCAAGTTTATTTAACTGTTTAGATTCAAGTTTTTAGAAAATGTTTACTCTGATTCTCGATAAACATATAACAGTAATGTTTAGATCCAAGTTTATCTAAAATTAAAGTTATAAACTTGTTCAGATTCAAGTTTTAAAATTAAATAAATTTTAATTTTTAATTTAAGGCCATTCAAACTCAAAATGGTGGAAATTTTTTGAAATAACTTCAACCTCCTTTGTAGTCCTTTCAATAACAGCGCTCATTTTGGCTAGTATGCCTGAATTCCAAGTGCCAGATAATTCGAATCAAAATACAATGTCTCTCGGAAAGCACTCAACAAACCCAACATACCCAAAAGTCAGTGGATTTACAATTTCAACAACAACGGTAAAATTAATTAAAAATAAAACTTGAAAACAATTAATTGTTTTAAGGTTGTAAAGGACGGCGAAGAACATCGTATTGAAATGATTGAACATCCTGTGTTTAATTATGTTGAGAATATATGTGGTAAGTTTATTAAAAATAAAATCTGAACATCTAATTAAACTTTGATTTAAACATCTAACTAAACTTAAATCTGAACATTTAATTAAACTTGAAACTAAACACTAAATTAACTTTTAAATAAATAAACCTGAATTAAAACAAATAAATAAACTTGAATTAAACAAAAGAATAAACTTGAATATGAACATCTAAATAAACTTGTTCAAGTATAATAAAACATCTAAAAATACTCAAACTTTAATTAAATAAAACAAACTTGAAAATAAACAACTAAACAAACAAGTTTATTTAGATGTTTAGATTCAAGTTTATTTATTTAAATTGAATTCACAACAAAGTTTTTATTTTTTATAGTTATTTATTTTACATTGGAATATTTGTTACGTTTTTGGGTGGCACCTATAAAAGTAAAATAAATATTTTTTTAATTGACAAGGATATTTTTATTTATTTTTCAGTCACAATTTGTAAAAGAATTTTTAAATATAATTGATCTCCTTGCTATTGCTCCTTTTCTTTTTGAACTTTTACTTATTTTTGTAAGGGAAAAATAATTTTTTTAACTAGAAAAAATTTTTCAGATAGGAATTCGGGGGGATAATATTCGAAAAGTTCGGTATGTTTTAAAAAAAATTTCTAGACAAAAAAATTTAATTTTTAGTTGGGCATTCCTCACAGTTCGTCTTCTACGGGTACTCAGAGTTGTTAGAATTGCAAAACTTGGTCGTTTCAGTCCTGGTATATAAATAAACTTGGATCCGAACATTTTAATTTGTTTTAAATTTTAATAGGTCTTGCCAACTTTGCCTTAACCTTACAACGAAGCAAAAAACAAATGCAAATGGTAGCGATTGTATTGCTTACTGGTGGGTAAAATAATATTATAAAATAAACTTTAATCTAAATAAACTTGGATCCGAACGGGTAAATAAACTTGAACTGAACATTTAAATAAACTTGAATATGAACATTTAAATTAAATAAACTTGAATTTAGACATTTAAATAAACTTGAATCTGAACATTTAAATAAACTTGAATGTAGACATTTAAATAAACTTGAATGTAGACATTTAAATAAACTTGAATCTGAACATTTAAATAAGCTTGAATCCGAACATTTAAATAAACTTGAATCTGAACATTTAAATAAACCTGAATCTGAACATTTAAATAAACCTGAATCTGAACATTTAAATTAAATAAACTTGAATCTAAACATTTAAATAAACTTGAATCTGAACATTTAAGTAAACTTGAGTCTGAACATTTAATTAAACTTGAATCCGAACATTTAAATAAACCTGAATCTGAACATTTAAATAAACCTGAATCTGAACATTTAAATTAAATAAACTTGAATCTAAACATTTAAATAAACTTGAATCTGAACATTTAAGTAAACTTGAGTCTGAACATTTAATTAAACTTGAATCCGAACATTTAATTAAACTTGAATCCAAACATTTAAATAAACTTGAATCTGAACATTTAAATAAACTTGAATCCGAACATTTAAATAAACTTGAATCTGAACATTTAAATAAACCTGAATCTGAATATTTAAATAGACTTGAATCTAAACATTTAAATAAACTTTAATCTGACATTTAAACAAACTTGAATCTGAACATTTAAATAAACTTGAATCCGAACATTTAAATAAACTTGAACCTGAACATTTAAATAAACTTGAATCTGAACATTTAAATAAACTTTAATCTGAACATTTAAATAAACTTGAATCCAAACATTACTTAAACTTGAATCTGAACATTTATAATTATCAATTTAAAAAACCTTAAATATCTAAGCAATAATATCTCTGTGGTTTAGTGGGTTTGTGCTAGGTTTTCAATTAAATTATTATCGGTTCGATTCCTATTTGTTGTTTTTTATTTTTTATGCGTTTTAATTTAAATCAAATTAATTAAAAAATATTTATCTATTTTTAAACTAAAATTAATTTTTTTATAGTTATTATTTTCTTCTCTACCCTCGTATATTTTATGGAAAAAGACGAGCCAAACACAACATTCACGTCTATTCCTGCAGCTTTTTGGTGGTACGTCTATTATATAATTTCTAAAATTTCTATTATTTTTAGGTGCCTTTTTTCACAAACCAAATGGGTGCCACAAACTGCATGTAAAAATATTTATTTTAAAGAGTTTTTTTAAATAAAATTTTTTAGCCGGCAAAATAGTTGGTGGAGGTGCTATAATTTGTGGTGTTTTGGTACTTGCTTTGCCTATTGCTATATTGGTTGGTAAAAAATTAGTTTTTTTTGAAAAAATTAAAATTGTCTTCCCATTGTAGCTCTGGGGTTTGATTTACTGTCCTGGGCCTGTAGTCCAGGAAAAACCCCAGGAAGGTCAAAAATGCCTGGGCTGGCCTCTTGGTACAGGAAAAACCCAGACCTTGGTCCAGGCCCACTTCGATCCAAGAGAGCCAATTTGATCCGCTCACTCAATAAAGAGTCAAGAACAGCCCTTTCCTAAACACAAATTTAATTTCAGGTTAACAATTTTATGCAAGTTGTTCGTCTACGAGAAGAAAAATTAATTAGACAACAATATTATGTAACAAATACAGCAAGTGGAGGTTCTATAGTTGGTGGCGAACATCGAGTTTAATGATTGGAAAATTTCGAGATTTTTAATAAGAACATTCCAGAATAATTTTGTATCTAGTCGTATTTTATTTTTATTGTATGTAAAATCAATAAATCGATAAAATCAATATATCGATTTTTTAAAAATTTTAAAAAATTATTATTTTCCAAAAAATCGATAAAAAATCAATAAATCGATAAAATCAATATATCGATTTTTTAAAAATTTTAAAAAATTATTATTTTCCAAAAAATCGATAAAAAATCAATAAATCGATAAAATCAATATATCGATTTTTTAAAAATTTTAAAAAATTATTATTTTCCAAAAAATCGATAAAAAATCAATAAATCGATAAAATCAATATATCGATTTTTTAAAAATTTTAAAAAATTATTATTTTCCAAAAAATCGATAAAAAATCAATAAATCGATAAAATCAATATATCGATTTTTTAAAAATTTTAAAAAATTATTATTTTCCAAAAAATCGATAAAAAATCAATAAATCGATAAAATCAATATATCGATTTTTTAAAAATTTTAAAAAATTATTATTTTCCAAAAAATCGATAAAAAATCAATAAATCGATAAAATCAATATATCGATTTTTTAAAAATTTTAAAAAATTATTATTTTCCAAAAAATCGATAAAAAATCAATAAATCGATAAAATCAATATATCGATTTTTTAAAAATTTTAAAAAATTATTATTTTCCAAAAAATCGATAAAAAATCAATAAATCGATAAAATCAATATATCGATTTTTTAAAAATTTTAAAAAATTATTATTTTCCAAAAAATCGATAAAAAATCAAAAAATCGATAAAATCAATATATCGATTTTTTAAAAATTTTAAAAAATTATTATTTTCCAAAAAATCGATAAAAAATCAATAAATCGATAAAATCAATATATCGATTTTTTAAAAATTTTAAAAAATTATTATTTTCCAAAAAATCGATAAAAAATCAATAAATCGATAAAATCAATATATCGATTTTTTAAAAATTTTAAAAAATTATTATTTTCCAAAAAATCGATAAAAAATCAATAAATCGATAAAATCAATATATCGATTTTTTAAAAATTTTAAAAAATTATTATTTTCCAAAAAATCGATAAAAAATCAATAAATCGATAAAATCAATATATCGATTTTTTAAAAATTTTAAAAAATTATTATTTTCCAAAAAATCGATAAAAAATCAATAAATCGATAAAATCAATATATCGATTTTTTAAAAATTTTAAAAAATTATTATTTTCCAAAAAATCGATAAAAAATCAATAAATCGATAAAATCAATATATCGATTTTTATTCAACAATTAAAACAAATGAAACAAAATATATTCTCTAAACTTTCTTTCCTTGTTGTCTCAACAAATAATTTCGTAAACTTAATTGTCGATCTCGAAAAGATCTCTGACGATTTTTGCCACGCATTTTGTGTTGCACCATTTTAAAGTTTTTGCGTTTTGCCAATTCTCTGTTTGTTCTGCCAACATGTGCTCCCTTTAAAAAATAAATTTTAAAAAGTTTTCTCGACCTTGGAAAAATTTTTTAAAAATTTTTAAAATTTTTAAAAATATTTTAAAAACAAAAGAAAGAATAAAATACCGATCGGACATTTTATTCCCAGCGGACTCGAACCCTCGACCTTTACCAAATTTCAAAACAGGCTTGGAATAGTTTTAAAAAATTTCACAAAATTTTTTTAAGCTTGAAAAAATTTATGAAAATTTTTTAGAAAAATTTAAACACGTTAGAAGCTGAAATAAAAAATAAAATACAAACAGCGGACTCGAACCCCCGACCCTCCTCCCAAAAATCAGACGCCCTAACCATTACACCAACACGACTACACTCAACTTTAAATAAAACTCGAATAAATAAACTTGTTTTTTAACCTTCTTTTTTGGTTTAGCATAAGTTGTTGCTCTATCTTCCCTGCCTAATCTAACTTGTTCCATTCTTTCTTCTTTTGTTTGTTTACGTTTTTTACTAAAATGTTCAATGTTTTTAAGGCGGGGTAAGCCGTCTAATGCTGAAGATTCTTCTTCTTCGTTGTTTTTATTTTCTGTTGTTTCCTCTTCTTCTATTTCTTCTTCCTAAAAATTTATTAAAAAATTTAATAGATTTAAAAATTAAAATTAGAAAAATAGACAATTATTCCAGATTGTCGGTCTGGAATCGAAGAATCTAGAGGATTTTTCAGTCCAGTTCTGGATATTCAAAAAAAATTTCTTGAAAACTGACAACCTTCTAGTTATAAGAAAAATCCTTTTTGAGGTCCTTATAAACTAAAAATCAGGAAAAAAGTTTAGGAAACAAAAAATAGCGAGAAGTAACATTTAACTTCAGGAAAATTTTATTAATTCGCAAAAATCCCTAAAGGAAGCCCTAGGAAAAAAGTTTGGACTTAAAACTAGTAGATTTAAGAAACCCGGGATAAACGTAAAACCCAAGAAATCACCTAAAAGAAAAAAAGGGAATTGAAGTTTTCTAGAAATTCAAAACCACAAAAATATTCATTGAATTTAGGGAATGTTATGGAAAAAAATCTTTTAATTCCCAAACAAAAACTACAGGGAAATTTGTATTAATTCTCAAAAACCCCCAAAGAAGCCCCAGAAATCTAAACTTAAACCAACTCATCTCAAAATAATTCTAAAAAAATTAAAAAACCTCCATCGATTCATTATCCTCAGATTTATCTTCATTTTCTTCCATTCCCTCCTCCTCCTCTTCATCCAATCGTTTCTGTTTTTTAGGAGGTCTTCCTCTGTCTTTATGATGCAATAAATGAGGCTTTTTAGTTCGTAAAAGTACAATTAATGAATGAGCAGCCATTGAAACATTTTTATTGTGGATATGTTTATACTATAATTTTAATTAAAAAATTTTTCTCGGTCCTTCGGTTTCAGGGAAAGGGCCAGGTTGACCAAAAAGTAGGGTCAGGTTCCGGGGTTTCCAAAAAAATTTCGGATCGACTATCGGATTTAGGGTAACCCTGCCTATCCCATTCGATTTATCCACTATTTTTCCGCCCATAACTTTTCAAACCTTTATCCAAACTTTACAAACCTTATATCATTTTAAAGCTCTGAATATGTAAATTCTTTTTTCTAAAAAAATCAACTCGATTCAAGTACTTCACTCACAGTTACACCCAAAAAGGTAAAGGAAATCGGTACTTTTGTTGTTTAATTGACTACAACTTTTAAGGAATATTTAAAATAGATTAGTCCTTTTAGGAAAAATAATCTACAAATTCAGGGCTTCCAAATGATATATAACTTGATATAAAATCTTGGGAAAATAAAAAAAGTTATGAACCAAAAAAAGTGGGAGGGCGGAAGGTAAAGGACTAGGAACACCCCCAAAAATTTATTTAAAAAAAATTCAAAAACCTCAGCCAAATCTCTAACCATTCCCTCATTTGCAGCATCCGGACAATTTGCATAAATTTCTCTTATAGTGTTTAATCCAACAGTTATAGCCTCTTCAGAATTTCGATCAGAAACAAAATTTTGGGCAATAACTCTAACCTTGATAAATAAGAATTAATTTTCAAAAAAAATTTCAAAAAAAACCAATTGTTCAATAATATCAGAAGGAACAAATTCATGGCACGCTTGTGCTGCATATAATAATAATCGAGTAACTTGATTTTGTTTGGGTTGTAAATAACGATGCAAATAAGAATAAAAGCCTAAAGTTTGTAATTTATGTATTCCAATAACTCTTGCACAAAGAGAAATTTGTAAAAGTCTGAAAAAAAAAATTTTAAAAATTTTTAAATTAGTTAAAAAAAATTTCTAAAAATTAAAAAAAAATTATTTCCCCAAGAATACTGATAGAATTGTTAATGTTGTTAGATCACCCCTTCAATAAATTTGTAAAAATTATAATTTTAAAGGAAATTTCTTTAACACAAATTTAAAAATTCATAATAAATTTTAAACTTCAAAAAATTAAATTAAAAACTTTAAAAAGTTAAAAGAATCGAAGAAAAAATTAAATGCCGCTAACAGGGATCGAACCTGTGACCTTGGGCTTATTAGACCCACGCTCTAACCGGCTGAGCTATAGCGGCACATGTGAGAGGAAATTAAAAAAGTTGTTAAGTATTAATTTGAAAAATGATTAAATTGTGTTTGTTTACAATTCTGATCTCAAAATGTTCAAATAAAATTCTGATTATTCCAAAAAATATTTTATTAAAATTCTGGACATTCCGAAAAATGTTTTAATAAAAATCTGATTTTTTCTGGGCAATCCCGGAAAATAGGGGTTTCTTTAAAAAAACTTTAGAACTAAGAAAAAAGAATTTTTCTAGGGTAAAAGGGTAAAATTGAATTTCGTATACCTCCTCCTTTTTCCTTCCTCAAAATATTAAAAAATGGTCAGACAGCTAATCAAACTTTTAGTTTATAGAACTCGTCGAGCTGTGTCTAAAAACGCCTAGAACAAACCCCGGTCTTAACTTTAGGCCGAGATATAAACAAAAACCCTGCGTAAAAAAAACAAAACATAAACAGACTTTAAATAAAACCTTAAATAAACACCAAAATATTCAAAAAACTTCTAAAAACACACACAAACAAATATTTAAATAACCAAATAAACCACAACCAAACAAAACTTAAAAACAACAAACACAAATAAAGAACATTTAAAACAAACAACCAAAACAAAAAAACATCAAAACAAACAAACATTTAAATAAACATTAAAAACAACCAACCAACCTAACAACATATTTTTCATTCCTTTTATGCCCAACCAACAATCCAAACAATTTATCAGCAAATTTTTGGGGGTCATAAATTGATCTAATTGCTTCCAAATTGCATTGGGAACGTGTTAATTTATCCCCTCTTTTGGTTGCTTTCTTCTCTTTTTGAATTTTCTTTTTTGCTTCTTCTAATTGTTTTTTTCGTTTTCTTGTTTTCTTTGTGTATTTGTGTTGCTGCATTAATTCTTTAAGGGGTCTGAAAAGAAAAATTAAAAGAAAAAGTCAGAATGTGTCTAGAAAAAAATGAAATTAAATCAGAAATAGATCAGAAACAAATCAGAAAAATAAGAAAAAAATCAGAAAAACCCAGAACAGAATCAGAAATAAAATCAGAACACATCGGAATAAAACCAGAAGAAATCTAGAACGAATCAGAAAACCAGAAAAAAACCAGAAAAATCAGAACAAAATAAGAAATAAAATCAGAACACGTCATAACGAAATCAGAATAAATAAGAAATAAAATTAGAAAATAAAACTAGAACAAACCATAATGATAAAACCAGAAAAAATCAGAACATGTCAGAACAAAAATCAGAAAAACCAAAAATAAAATCAAAAATGAAATCAGAAAATGCCAGATAGGTCAGAGTATGTCAAAAATAAAGTACGAACAAAACTGGATCAGAAAACCCCAAAACATATCAGAAATAAAAGCAGAAAACAAAACCAAAACAAAATTAAAAAAGAACACGTCAGAATGAAACCAGAAAATCCAGAACAGAAATCAGAAACCCAGAAAAAAATCATAATAGAATTAGAACATGTCATAACAAAACCAGAACAAACTCAGAAAACAAAAACCAGAACAGACTCAAATGATAAAATCAGAAAAAATCAGAAAAATAGGAAATAAAAGTGGAATAAAATCAGAAAATGTCAGAATAGACCAGAATAAATCAAAAATAAAATCAGAATACAAAAACCAGAACAAAACTCAAAAATAAAAAAAATTCATCCAAACTTGTTTTTGTTGTCGATTTCACTGTCATCACTGCTGTCACTTTCCTCCTCTTCCCCCTGCTCATTTTTGCTAGAACCCAGGAAGAAGCGCATAGCAGAAATCTTTAAAGAAAATTTTCGAAAAACTTTCAGAAATTTTCAAAAAAAAACCTGAATTCTCTGTAATTTATTTAAAAACACACTTTCAGCCAAAGCATTGGCTACTTTTTCGTCTTGCCAAAATTGTTTAAGATAGGCATGGATAAGCACTAATTGAGCTACTCTAGCCAATATTATTTCATTTTCAGCATTTAAAAGTAGACAAAAAAGTTTTTGTTTGAGAAGAGAAGAATCCTTTTAAAAATTCAAAAAATAATTTCTAGCAAACTTTGGTTAAGCGGAGGTAGTCAAAAAATTGAAAAAATAAGGTCGAGGGTTCGAACCCGTTCGGGGTATTTTAATTTATTCTAATACAAAAATGTAAAAAAGTGAAAAATAACAAAAAACTAGGCTTTTTTATCTCTTAAATATTTTTGCCAAGTTATATATCAATTTAAAGCTCCAAATAAGTAGATTATTTTACTTAAAAGGACTAATCATTTTCAAACAATTTACTAAAAGATATAACCAAATAGACAACAAAAATAACAATTTCTATACTTTTCGGCTTCAACTTTGAGTGGAGAACTTAAATTAATGTTGGTCTATTAGAAAAAAGAATACATTCAGAGCTTTAAAATAATACATGGCTTGTATAGTTCTGAATAAATTTTTAGAAAAAGTATGGAATCATATGCTAATTTTGTTTAGACCTTGACTAGCCCCCAAATTTTCCCCTAAAAATTAATTTAAAAAACCTTTCCACTAAACAACCGTTTTATCTTCTTTCCAGTTTTTCCTCGAGTACAGCACGAACGAATAAACAAACAAATTGAGTTGATAATAAATTTTCTAAAAAATTTAAAAAAATAAAAAAATTTCCAAACCTCAACGCCTTATCTTTATATTTCAACAATTTTACAAATAAATCCATACAAACATACAATTTAATTCTTTTATGCATCGTTAAACGTACTAGAGCCATAGTAAATTGCAAACGTAAATTTCTAGAAATTAAACTTGTATGGGAACCATTTAAATAATTAATTAATAATTCGACAAAGATGGGTGATTTGTCTTAATTGAAAAAAATAATTTTAGACTAAAAATACTTAAACACAAAATTTTTTAAGTTTGGTTAAGTTGGAAAATTTTAAAAAATTGCAACATTAAGGTCGCGGGTTCAAACCTGCTCGTGGTTTTTCTTAATATTTAAAAATTCTAACGCTATTTAAAAATTAAAAAATAAATTTTAGCACAAAAATGCCGAAAAACAGAATTTTTGAAAAGTTTGGTTAAGTTGGATAATTGCAAAATTTAGGTACCAGGTTCGAACCCGCTCAGGGTTTTTTAATTTTTAAACATTTCTAAGCTATTTAAAAATTAAAAAATAAATTTTAGCACGAAAATGCCGAAAAACAGAATTTTTGAAAAGTTTGGTTAAGTTGGATAATTGCAAAATTTAGGTACCAGGTTCGAACCCGCTCAGGGTTTTTTTAATTTTTAAACATTTCTAAGCTATTTAAAAATTAAAAAATAAATTCTAACCCAAAACTGACCAAAAACAAATTTTTTATTTAAGTTGGGTAATTAAAAAATTGAAGAAAAACAGGTCGCAGGTTCGAATCCGCTCAGGGTATTTAAATTTATTTTTAACCCAAAAACATAGAAAACGTGTAAAACATCATAAAATTACCTAAAGATTTATGACTATTTTTTAGCAGGGAAATAATCATATCATCCAAGTTTGTAGAATTTTTGTCATTTGGCACAATTTTAATTAATTCTAATTGTTGTTGAAATTGTTGAAGTTTTTCTTGAGTTTCTTTTAATTCGTCGGGGAACATTTTCTAAAAATAAAAAAAAATTTCTGGGGAGGTTTGTACTAGAAATTAACAAAAAAATTAGAAAATTATGGGAACCAAGTGTTCGAAAACTCTTACTAAAATTCGTAACTTTTCACGTATTTGGATAAAAGTAGGAGAAAAAAAATTAGGCAAGTACAAGGAAAAAACAAGGGTTGTATGAAAATATGAACAAAAATTTTAAATTTTCAAATAATGGTAGAAGCCAGAAATTGTTTAATTTCTGTTTTAAAAATCTTAAAGCGGTTTTGAGTGAAAAACGAATTTATTGCCCCACGTCGAAAAAGAAACACAACAGAAATATAAAAAAACTTTTCAATCATGACAGAAACCAGAAAGGATTTTATAAAAATTGCCCTGAAATTCCCAACAAAAAAACATTAAATTTAAAACAAACCTCAACTTCTTTGTCACTCAATTTTTCAGAATCCTTTAAAGATGGCTGTGCTTGCTTCAATTTTTGATTAAATTTAGAAGAATTTGCCTGCTCCCCCAACATTTCTTTAAAAATTTAATTGAATTTTTGTGTTCGTCAAACAATTTAGTTTTAATTGAATTTTTGAAGAAAACTAGTTGAAAAAAGAAAAGAAAATTAGAAATATTAAAATGATTTAAAAATCAATTAAAAAAAATTTCCAAAAAATTTAAATATTTCCTACTAACAATAAATCAAAAGCAAATAAATTTAAAAATAAAACAAAAAAAACTAATTTTAGCCATTATTCTCATACAAACTTTCCGGTTCTTCTATACTTGTCCAATTAATAGTCTAAAAAATAAAAGTTTAAAGATGGGTAAAAAAACCCTAAAAAAATTAATTTAAAAAAAAGGAGGAGAGAGGTAATCAAAAATCTTTGTAAAATTAAAAAAAAGGCAAAAACACGGGAAGAAAAAATTCAAAAAAAGGAAAAAAATTTCAACGATAAAAATTCGGTTAACAAGATTGTGAGAAAGAGAGAGATGAGGATATCTCGAAAAAATATCCATTCATATTTTTATTAGAAATCTTGTCTCTCTCTTTCTCTCTCCCTGTTCTATAGTATTAATACCATTTTAGTTTTTGAAAGAGGAGTGGTAAAGATTCGAACCCGTTTGGTGGACAGAATTCTTTTATTACAAAAAATTAAACAAAAATTTACATTGAGCCTCCGTTTCCTTGTACTTATTTATTTATTTATTTATTTACACCACTAGGGTGTGACAGTCAAAAATAAAACAATTTAAAGTGAAATTACGAAAAATAAAAATGCTAATAAAAAAATGTCCTTAAAATAAAAATCAAAGCAGCTTAGCAAATAAAATTATCTCATTTGTCATTTAAGATATTGGAAATATCCAACTGTTCAAGAAGTTTAGAAAACATTTTGGGTGTATTTTTTTTAATTTCTATAGGAATTAGTGAATAAATTCTAGCAGTTCGAACAAAAAAGGAGTTGTACCGAATCATGGTGTTGTGTTTGGTATAACATGGAATTTTGCAAATTTCCCTCTAAATTTGCTATAAGCCAAAACCATGTCAACTGAAGGAGAATTTTGTAACCAAAAGAATTGAGTTCTTAAAAAATAAAAAATTTAAATTTATTTTTAAAATTTCTAAAATTCATTTTGGAAAGTCAAAATTTAATTTTGGGCCAAAAATGACTAAAAATTAAATTTTTGTCTAGTTTGATTAAGTTGGATAAATAAAATTTTTTTCATTTTAGGGGTCGAGGGTTCGAACCCTTTCAGAGATTATTAATTTATTATCAGTCAAAAAACAATTTTTAACACTAATTTAAATATTTGGTTCATTCTTTAACCAAAAAATAATTTTATTTTAACATAAAAACCTCAATTTATTGTGTAAATGCAGTTGATCAAGCCGACGTTGTTCCCATTTTTCCCAATATTTCCAACCATCAATTTCTGGATCCATATCCTCCAACTCCTAAAATTTTTAAAAATAATTAAAAGGGAGTTAGACATATCGGGACGGACATTTCAGGATATTGGATTGGACATAACCTATGTTAACCTATTGGATTTTGGGACCTACATCCAGTGGGTCTTGGATAGTGAATTGCTCTATTGAAGGTTTTTATGTTTTAGAACCAATGCAAACGCGCAAGAGGTTAAGTATTTTTGTCATCAGTCCCAAAGGCCCGTCCCGATGTCCCTTTACCAATTAAGCAATCTTTAAAAAATTAAAAAAATTTTTTTATTAAGAAATACCTTGTTTGGTTCAATATCCAATTTAAATATCCAAGAAGGGTATTCAGAATTTGGCCGAATTTCTGGACCTGGAGACTCATCTAAAAAATATAAAAAATTTAAAAAAATGTGGAAGGATTTAAAAGAAAAAACATAAATTTATTGGAAGTTTGGTTAAGCTGGTTAAAACAAGATTTAGCCCGTCTAAGGATTCGGGTTCGAACCCGCCCAGAGAATTTAACATTTTTCCGGCTTCAAAATGTTTAAAATATTATTTGGAATATTTTTAACCGTTTTAATGTAAGGAAAAAATTTTTAAAGACAGAAAACACCGCAAAAAATAGTTTTTTAAATAAAAAATTAAATTTCTTCAACAATCCCCCGAAAAATCTTTCCAAAAATTTCAACAAAAAATTAAAGAAAACCCCAAAGACTAAAAAAAACAAACCTTCATTTTTATAATTTACATTAACATATTTGCACAATTTTTCAGCGTCTTCTTCAACATAACTTTCTTCTTGATCTGATGGAAGTGCTGTCGATCCTCTTCCTTTAACGGCTGGTTTAGCAGCAAAAGTTCTAGTTGAAGTAATAATTCCAAATAATTTAATATTGGGGAATAAAAGGCGAGAATAAATTTTTAAAAAAGAATATTCCATTCTAATTTAAAAATTTTGGAAAAAAATAATTAAAAATAGAAGAAAAATATTTTTTAAAAGAAAGAACAAATAAAAATTAAAAATTTTCAAAAAATTTTTAATATTTAAAATTTACACCAAAAAATATCAAAAAATAATATACGGAGCATGTCGTAATACCAAACACGGAAATAACAAACACCCCCAAAAGCCTGATAAAATATCAAACTGTGGAAGATTAACAAACCTTCCACAAATCATGTGGAAAGGTTGTTGTCAATAGGGTTGCCAAAATGGACCGACTCTGACCAAAAGACCGAGTCAAGCCTAAGATATTTGGCCCGAAAGGGACTTGTACAGGTCTGACTCGATAAAAACAAGCCCGAAAAAATGTCTCAACCGTTGGCCCGACTCGAAAACAGGAACCCAAGTTATCAACCATCCACACATTTTTGTTTTTTTGACTAGGGTTGCCGGCCCGCCCAGTCCGAAAGGCCGAGTCGGGCATCGAATTTTGGCCCGAAAAAGACTCGGTCTGGCCGGACCGATAAAAACGAAGCCCAAAAAATGACTCGAACTCGACCTGACTCGAAAAAAGCAACCCAAATTTTGCCGCGTCTTTTGGGGAAGTTTAAATATCTCGACGTTTGGTATTTACGGCATCTCATACAATATGTTAAACAAAAGCACTTTTAAGAATAAGGCGAAATTGGAAAAATATTTTAAAAAAATTTTAGACAAAATTTTTACTAGCCTAAAATGTCCGCAAAAATAATCCGCAAGTTTTCAAATCCCAAAAAATTAAAAAAATCAATCCATTAACGCCCTAACACCAAAATATTTTTAAATTCAAAAAAACCTTTCCCTATTCAATATTATGATTTTTATATTTAAACCTCTTTAAATTTATAATCTCTCCTCTACTTCTTCTCCAATTTGTCCAAATGTTTGCAAACCTCAGCAAAAATATCCTCAATAGTTCCCTCAGCATTTATCTAAAAATTAAAAAAAAATGTTTGAGAAGACATTTCCAGGAGAATGACAAAACCAGCTCACCGAAAGCTGTTGAAATGTCAAACCCCCCAAAGAAAGGTTTCCCATGAGGATGGGGTGAGAAAAAAAGTTGACTGGGTTCGGGTAAAGTTTTCAAAAATTTTTCTTTGGATTGAGGCTTCGGGTCAAGAGAAAAGTCAAAGTTTTGGGTAATCCGAACATCCATGGAACATCCAACCAAGGCCTTATCGAAGTTTCCTTAACAAAAAGAATCTCCGAAATTTTTTTGAAACATTTAAGGCTTGAACAGCAAAACAATTTTGGATTTTAAAAACAAAAAAGGGGCGGAAAAGCATTGAACGAGTCATGCAAAAAATTTTTCCTTAAATTTTTCAAAAAATTAAAAAAAACCTTGGCCAATTTCCCCTTTCCTTCATAATATTCCACAACAGGTTTAGTTGCCTCATAAAAAGTACGCAAACGATTACGAATAGTTTCCTCATTATCATCTTCTCTGCCACTAGTTTGACCACGAAACATTAGGCGTTTAACCAAAGTTTCTTCTACAACATCAAAGAAAATAACCAAATGGCTTGGAGATAACTAGGGAATAATTTTTTAATGAAATTTTTCTGAAAAATTTGGAAAATTAATTTAGAGGCCAGGAATATACAGACTGGCCAAAAATAGACAAGAACAAGAAGGGTCTACAAATATAATTCCTGCGAGACGTTGGATAGTATCGGTTAGCAGGGTTTATTTGGAAGCTACCCACGTACCAACAAACATTCTGGCCCGAATCTGACAGAAATAGTGAAAGAAATGCTGTCTTATCTTTGGGTGTTTCCCAACCTCTAAAAAATTAAGGGAAGGAAATTACTAAAATTAGCAAGGGAAGGAAATTACAAAAAAAAGAGAATAAATAGTAAGGGAAAGAAAATACTTCTCTTAAAAAATTCCGAACTTTGAAACACCCAAAATATACCCTAACCAAGCCTCACCAATTAAAAAATAAAATTAAAAGAAAACCTTTTCTTCAAAACGCTTTCCTTGTTCAACATCTCTAGGATATCCATCAATCAAAAATCCCTTCGCCCCAGCTTCAACGGCTTTAAGCATCGCCTTCTCAACCAAATCAAGCACCAAATCCAATTCTACAAGTTTTCCAGCTTTGATTGTTTCAGAAAATTGCAAGCCTAGAGGAGAGCCTGACGAAACTTCTGCACGTAGTAAATCGCCAGAACTTGAAAAAATAAAAAAATTTAGAAGTAAATCTCAAAGCAAATTTACACTCACCCCCACCCCCAATATACCAAACAGCAGCCAAATGAGACGGGTGCCCGAAACCACGATCCGAAGAAAATTCTTACGCATCCGGCTTGTTCCCTTTTAATCCCACTAAATGACCCTCCCAAAACGTGATACTAGTTTTTTCTCGACCCGTCACATGAAGACCCCCCCCCTCCCCAAAAAAATGTAAACCTTAAATGAGTATATCCATATTTTTTGACAATCAAATCACATTGCGTCCCCTTTCCACTTCCTGGACCACCAACAATGAAAATTATAGGCAAATCTTTGTTTAGAACAGGAGGCATTTTTATTTAAATTTTTGAAGAAAATATCTAGAAATTAATAAAATAGATCGGTTAATGAGTGAAAATAATTACAAAAATATTTAAATATTTTTTAAAAAATAATTGGAAGTAAATTAATATTAGCCTGAAAATATTTATTACAGTCAATTTTGAGAGATCGATAAAAATCTGGTAATTATGAACTTTAAAACTCTCACTATTCTCATCTAAAATTTTTCCTCATCATAAATGGAGACCGACACGGGACGGGACCCCGTACGGGATTTTACGGGATCCCGTCCCGGAATCCCGGGTTTTTCGCGGAAAACGGGATTTACGGGATTAATCCCGCGGGATCCCGTCCCGGTCGAATTTTTAAACTCAATCCCGTTACGGGAGAATGCCAAATAGTAGGGAATAAATGTTGGAATCGGGAGTGGGTAAATAAAAAGGAGAGTAATAAAGTTCAAAATTTAATAATAATTTTAAATAGTCTGAGGTTTAAGTCAATATATAAAATTGCTCTATAAAAAATAATTAATTCTTAGTTCCAATTACAATTTTTAATTGAAGACAACAAATTATCAAGTCTCCATGAAAGGTAAAAAAGCCATAAAATAAGAGCTACCAAGAACACTATAAACAACATCGTAAAGTTAATCCAATGTCGGGTCTTCGGAGTTTTGCTACGCAAATACTTGCAAACGCTACGAATACACTTCTAAATAAAGCATTAGAAAATTAATAAAAAAAATAAAAAAAATATCAATTACTCAATGTGTCTGTTCCGTGTTTTAGCCTGACAAGGTTGCTAAAGAGGGAATAAATCAGGGCTCTCATTCGTGCTTTATTTGAAAGTATTATACTTTGAAACCGACCTCCATACTTAAGAAATTGAATTTATACTTTATTGAAAGTATACATATACTTTAAAATCAACATTTTGGATTGAAAATGAAATTGGGGAAGGGATTGGGCAAAAAAGTGAATTTTTTTAGCCTTGGGCCTTCGAAATTATCAAAATTTTCGCCTGCGGCGCTGAAAATGGGAGAAATCTGGTTTCTTGGGCTCCAAATTTCAAAAAATTTTCGCCTGCGGCGCTGAAAATGGGAGAAATCTGGCTTCTAGAGCTCTAAAATTCTCAAAATTATCGCTGCGGCGCTGAAAATGGACGAAAGTAATTTGCTTGAGGTTAAGACTGTCAGGGCTTTATTTCTTGTATCAGCGAATTTTGACATGTCATGCGTTGAAATGCAAAAAATGCTCAGTGGAAGCAAGAAATTATTAGAAAAGATTCATTTAAGAGAGAAATATAAAAGATTTGAGCACGAACAAATATTTTCCAATTTAATTTGGAGTATACTTTAAATTTGGAAATTTTCTCCCTATATACTTTTTTATCAAGATTTTGATACTTTTGAGTGGCATTTTGTCGATGAGAGCCCTGGAATAAATGCTGGAATTGGGAAGTGATAAGGAGAAAGAAGAGTAATAAAGTTCAAAATTTAAAAATAGTTTTAAGTAGTCTGAGGTTTAAGTTAATATATAAAATTACTTTATAAAAATTAGTAATTCTTATTCCCGTTACAATTCCTATTTGAAGCGATATAGTCATCGAGTTTCTTCGAAATGAGGAACAATCCAAAAATAACAACTCCCAAAACCAATAAAAGTAGCGTCATAAAGAAAACCCAATTTCGGGGCGTCGAACCTTTGCAGAAAATACTATGAAGACGCTCCTAGATAAAGAATTGAAAAATGAAAAAATAAAAAATATACGGATTTTTTCTTCCTTTGCCTTGGAGCGGTTTCACGCAACTAAAAATATTGAGAATTGATTAGAGTCAACATGAAAATTTTGTAGAAAGGGATCTTTTGTGAATTAAAACATTCAAAGAAGAAAGACAAATAATCAACCTGGCTTAATAAGATAATCAAAAATACAAAAACTAACAATCTGATTAAGTTTTTCCACATCAATCTGGGCATTAAGTGGTTTTTGAGTAGTTTGTATTGGAGCAGGATATGTTAAAGCTGTTGAAATTACTTCTTCAATTCCACGTCCAGATAACTAAATATAAAAATAGAAATATTTAGGGAAAAAAACAAAAACCAGTGATATCTGAACATACTCCTTCTTAACCTTCACATCCTTGTTTCCTCTCATCGAAAAAATGAAGCTATGAAATATTTGAATGAAGACATATATGAACGAACTGTTTCATACCTTTATAACAGGAGGAATTGATTAAAATTTTTGAAGAAATTAAGTAAAAATAAAGAAAATAATATATACATATTTTTTAAAAATAATTACAGGTAAATTAAAATTAGGTTAGAAATATTTATTAAATCATGCTAAACAAAAAAAGCAAATTTGTGAGATCAAATATAAAATTTGTTAATTTTGAACTTTATAACTCATTATTTTTTTATTTTTTTCCTATTGCCAAATAGCGAATTGGGAAAGTAAATCAATAATTGGAGAACAATACGGAGTAAGACAAGTCATAAAATTCAAATAGTCAGAAGTAAATTTAAAGAAACCAGTATAGCCACAGTAAAGTGTTATTTGTAGTCTAATTCATTTTTGTAGTCGTTTATTCTTATTTGCAGCCAATCTATCAACTGAATTCTCGATACGATCAAGCGAAGAATTCAACTTAACAAAATTAACATGAAGATGGTAAAACATGATAATAAATAAGACAATAATTCCAAGCACGATTAAAAAGGATAATGTAGAGGAGGAGACAAAGCATATTATGGTAGAAGCTGTAGTAGATTGTGGGAGAGGCTGTAGTTCAGCAACGAACTGAATACAAATTAATGACAGTTTTGAAAAAACTAAAACCTGTGAATTATCCTTTTCATTGTTTTTCTCCGGAAAAAAACTTTTCCAGAATTCTCCAGCCTCAGTAGCCATTAATTCTAAACATTATTTTAAGGCAAAAAACAATATTAAATATCAAATTGAAATATAGCATCAAAAACTAGATTGTCTTAAACAAATTTTTAGGGAAGCTTTATTAATAAATTATGCAAAAAATAAGGCAGAAAGATTAAAAAAAGTTGGAACGAATAAGAAACAATCATCACATTATTAGAAAGTTGAAAACGTAAAGACGAGAAAAAATAACTTCAGAAATGACAGAAAATAAATTTAAAAAATAGTGAAAATTTTCAAAATAACAAAAATCAAAACGTCCAAGTTAAAAATGTTAAAATAAAATTTTTTTGAATTTTTAAAATAAAAATTTGACAAATTTTTCCAAATTTGAACAACAATTTAGGGAATGTAGTAGTACAGAGATAAAGCCTTTATTCAAAGTCCCAACTGACCCAATGTTTCAGTCACTTGTTTGCAGCAATCAATAGGATCAGTAACACTATGTCCAACAGTGCCAGGATGAATAAAAATTTCATAGTCATTTCCTCCCTTAAATTTTTTAAAGTTAAAAATCCTTTATTGGAATGAATGCTTGCTTCATAGGGCTTTAACAACAATTTATGTCACCTTAGCTTAGTCGGTTAGTGTTTAGTTTTAGCTGGAGTAGGGGTGAAGGTTCGAACCCGGTTGGTGGTCATATTTTTTAAAAAGCTATAAATTGCCTTTCCTTATTCGTCTAAGCCATCAAAAAATTCTTTTAAAATTTTTTAAAATTTATTTAAACTCACCGGCGTCGTTTTATCACCAAAAAAGTGAATAGCCTCATATTTGGGTTCCAAATATCGCAAACAGAATGTTTTATCCCACCCAGAGGGGAATATATCAATACTTATTTGTCCACCAATTGAAAATTTGAGTGAATTTTCGTTTACTGGAAATCGTTGTTCTAACGCCTTTACAAAGTCTTGACGAACAGGAAATTTATTTTCGTATTCAACAAAGGACATTCGCTCTTCTTGGGTACAGCTACGACCGATTGGGCAGACATTCATCTAATTGAAAATTAAAATTTTTTTTAATTATTTTAATATACCATTCCATTCCGAAGTTCAATAAAAGTCCCTCGTTTAAGCGGCAAATCAATTTCTGACATATAACGAAGACAAAAGTTTGTCAAGTCTTGTAGGCGCTTTTCACCAAGTTCTTTTGTTATTGACTAGAGAAAAAAAGAAAAATAAATTTAAGAAAATAAAATTCCGGGAAATAGTTATGGAAGTGAATTAACTAAAAATGTCCGGAAAGAATTAGATGTCTAAAACTCGGGAAAATATATTCTATCAAAGAAATATACTTTTCCGGAAAATACATTTCATCAAAGAAATAGTATACTATTTACCGGGAACAGAACGGTGGGGTATGATTCCGTGCACACGATTCCGTGCACACGTTTCCGTGCCCGTTATAAAAAACACGTTTCCGTGCCCAATTTCTTTTTAATATAATAAACAATAAGAAAAGGTTTTGAGGGGTACAGTGAATATATAGGGACTTGTGCATGACATCGAGACATCAACAAGGGGATATTGGTGGATATGGAGGAAAAAATCTAAAAAAAAATTTTTTTTTGAAAAAATTAGAAGAACCCTGCTTCTAGCCTATGACTAACAGAATCTTCGCTGGAAAAACTGTTTTTGTGCTGCTACGGAGGGTAGGCCGGGCATGGTCTTCGCTACACGATGGCCGTGCTTCGCTGCGGTCGTGCTCGCTTCGCTCGCGGCGACCGTAGCGAAGCGGCGGCCGTCGTTCCGCTCGACATGCCCGGCTTCCTCCGCAGCGGCAAAAACTTTTTTCCGCGTAAATTTTTTGAATTGAAAAGAAAAATACTGAAGCAAAGTTGATAAGTTGATTACAAGGGGGATTAAAATACTTAAAAAATATTTAAAATTTTATAAAAATTTAAAAAAATAAAAATATTTAAATAATTGGGCACGGAAACGTGTTTTTTATAACGGACACGGAATCGTGTGCACGGAATCGTGTGCACGGAAACGTGTGCACGGAATCGTGTCTAACCGGGAACAGAAAATCAGAGAAAATACATTCCGTAAAATAGTACTAAAATTTACGGAAATATTTCCAGAAATTTCCGGAAAATACATTTTTAAAAGGAAAGTATATTCTCTTCCGGAAAATATATTCTTAGAAAATTCGTTTCCGGAAACTATACTGAAAAGGGATTAAATGCTAAAATTCCGCTAAAATTCCGGAAAACACTTTGAAAAATAAAGTACCGTATTGTTTCTAATAGAAGCCCATCTCTAATAGAAGCCCATCTCTAATAGAAGCACATCTCTAATAGAAGCCCATCTCTAATAGAAGCCCATCTCTAATAGAAGCACATCTCTAATAGAAGCCCATCTCTAATAGAAGCCCATCTCTAATAGAAGCCCATCTCTAATAGAAGCCCATCTCTAATAGAAGCACATCTCTAATAGAAGCCCATCTCTAATAGAAGCCCATCTCTAATAGAAGCCCATCTCTAATAGAAGCCCATCTCCAATAGAAGCCCATGCCCCAATATAAGCCCACTCAATGAGAGGTATTGAAAAATAGAAGCCCAGGGCCTGTATTGGAGACAATACGGTATATTCTCTTCCGGAAAATATATTCCGGAAAAATATTGTAAAACCGAAGCAAACACATTCCGGAAAGCATACATTTTAGAAAAACACATTCAGAAAACTCCAATTTAAAAATAGAAAAAATACCGCTTTCGGCAGCTCCTCAACGCCTTCAAATCCCATTAATCCATTCTCAGCAAAAATAAACGAAAAAAGTTTTAGCAATTCATTGTCTTCATTCGGCAGTTGTTCGAAAATTTTGCACAAATCGGAGCCGCCAACTACAGCAATAGGTACTCGTTGGCTTAGATTACGCATAAATTGAAGCATTTCATCCGTTATTTTCTGAAAATAAATTTTTGATTTTTTCAACTAATTTATAGCTTCACTTTTTGTTTCAGAAAGACAAAATTCGGAAACGTTAAAAATAAAATTCAGAAAAATTTCGGAAAATAAATATGAAATTCCGGAAAACACATTCCGGAGAATATGGGTTTCTTCGAAAAAAAAGTTTAAAAATAAGAAAAAGGATTTTCTAGGATAAAAAAATGTGCTGCTTACGAATATGAGCTCGGATTTTGAAAAAGTCATACCGGGACCCGAATATAGGTCCTACAATATCGAAAAACCATAGGGGGGACCAAGCATAGGGGGACCTATTCTACAGGATTGCCCCGAAAAATACATTCCGGAAACTAATCAAGCTGTGAAAAAGAAAAAAAACACATTCCGGAAATTAAATATTTAATTCTAAAAATACATTCCGGAACAGAATATGTAAAATACGTAGTAGAAAACACATTTCAATAATAAACATACAAATTCCAGGAAACACAAAATATCTGGCAGAATAAAATTCAGGCAAACACATTATGAAAAACACACATTTTAGAAAATATTTAAATTCTGAAAAATACATTCCGGAAGCAAATAAAAAAATACAAAAATCGCTTCCGGAGAAACTTGCTTCCATAAACTTGCTTCAAACTTAAATCAAATGTTACCCACCTGTCTAGGCATTGTAAGCGTTCCATCAACATCAAAAAGAAAAATTGCTGGAGCCTTTTTAGTTTGTTGTGTTACATTAAGTTGTTCTGATTTTTCTCCCCCATTAGCTGCTTCTGCTGGCATTTTTAAGAAGAAACAAAAATATTTTAAGAAATTTAGAAAATTTTTATAAAAATAATTTATGAATAAAGCATTTTTAGAGTAAAAATAAAATATTAAAAAAACGTTTTATTTGTTCGTTAAACGTGGCAGTAATTTTTATTTGATAAGATTTACATAAATGCAACGTGGAAATAATAAAAATAAATTAAAATTAGGGAAAACACATTCCGGAAAGGAATTAAAAATAAATACAGAAAAATACATTCCGGAAAAGTATTTTCTATTTTATAGTAAAAACACATTCCGGAAACACTTTCCGTATTTTTCCGGAAAATACGGAAATATAAAATTCGAAAACACATTCCGGAAAGGAGTTTAACATAGTAAATTTAAGGAATATTCCGGAAAGTATTTTTCCGGAAATAAGAATAATTTTAAAAACACATTCCGGAAAGGAAATATAAAATTCAGTAAACATTCCGGAAAATACTTTCCGTAAAGGAATTAAAATAAAATTCGAAAACACATTCCGGAAAAGTGTCCAATATAAATCTAAGAAACATTCCGGAAAGTATTTTCCGGAAATTGTAAAAATAAAAAAAA